TCCCCCAGTAGGGGGACTATAGGAGGCAGCTGGTTAGCGTTTCACACTCCCATCAGTGTTTCTCTCTCTCTCTCTAAAAATCAGTTTAAACATCTTTTTTTTAAAAAGATCTGATTTTTATTCTTGAAGCCATCTTTAATGCAAAAGCAAAGAAAGAGTCTGAAGTGGGCAAACAGCTTATAAGAGGTGGGAATTTGATAACTTTATGATGAAATTCTACTAATTTTCCATATGGACTGGGGAAAGACTTCATTTTGCACAGTCAGGAGGACTGATTGGCACAGTCTGTAGAAAGCAAATCCAGAAAAGCCTGGGGGAATTTGGAAAGAGGCTAGATTAAAGGCTTGTTTTGCTTCTAACCCGGTAGCTCTTGCTGTTTCTTTCATTTCCTCTTTCTTTTAATCAAGGCTGAGGTAGGATAGGGAAGGAAATATAGGCATGTCTAGTTTTCAGAAGGTTAACTTCCTTCCACATTTTCCAGTCTTTTTTTTTTTTTTTTTTTTTATCCTCACCTGAGGATATTTTTCCATATTTTGTACAGATAGAGTGGGAGGGAGAGAGAGGAAGGGAGAGAGAGAGAAACATCGACGTGAAGGGACACATCGAGTGGCTGCCACCCGCACGACCAACCAGGGCCGGGGACAAACTGCAACCGAGGTACATGCCCTTAGCGGGAACCGAACCCGGGTCTCTCCGGACCGCAGGCCGACGCTCTAACCGCTGAGCCAAACCGGCCAGGGCAATTTTCCAGTCTTTATATACTCTTGACTCCCTTATTCCCTACAGCAGTGTTTCTTAACCTCAGAACTATGAACATTTTGGGTCAGACAGTTTTGTTCTTTGGGCTATCCTGTGCATTGTAGGCTGTTTAGCAGCATCTCTGGCCTCTATCCTTTGGATGCCAGTGCCTCAGGTTGTAATAACCAAAAGTGTCTCAAGATATTGCCACCTGTTTTTGGGCAGGGGTGAGGGGGCAAAATTGCTCCAATTGAGAGCCACTGCCCTAGGGGAATAAACAAAATACAGTAAATCTTCAGTGTCGTCGATAGGTTCTGTGACTTCATTATTTTTTTAATTCTCACCTGAGGATATGTTTCTATTGGTGTGTTTTGGTATTTTTGGGTTTTTTTTGTTTTTGTTTTTAAAGAGAGAGAGAGAAACATCAATGTGAGAGAGCAACATCAATTAATTGCCTTCTGTACTCACCCCAACTAGGGATCAAACCCAAAACCTAGGTATATGCCCTGACTGGGAATTGTACCCTTAACCCTTTGGTGCATGGAACGACACTCCAGCCAACTGAGCCACATGGCCAGGGTTGTTCTGTGACTTTAAATGAAACCAATTTTTCCAATTATAAACCCTTATTTATAATTGCTATAAACAAGAGTTATATTCCTACAGCATCTCATTATCATTATAATGAAACAGCATTATTTGAGGACCTGTTGTAGTAATGATCTATGTAATTTACCAAAGACAATTTCTAGAGAGAAGTTTATTTTTGTTGTCTTGCTGTCCATCTTCTTACTGCACAGTCCAAACCCTGATACCTCTTTCCTGAGTAATAGCTTCAGCCTTCCTCAGGAGCTTGCTCTGGTCTCTTCCTGTTCCAGTCCTTCCTTCACAGTGTTGTCAGCATTATCTGTTTAAAATACAGATTTGGTTATGTTACTGCCTTGCTCTGGGACCCTTTATCTCTCACCCTTGGATATAGAATCATAGTATGAACCACTAGTATTAATTGGTCACTGTGCTGTGTGTTTTTTGCTATCACATAATTTAGTTTTTGCAAGAACCCTATGCAGTCATTCTCTTGTTATTTCCAATTTATAGACAAGAAACGGCTTAGAGAGGGTAAGCAGTTTATCTAAGGTGCTACAGTTAGTAGGTGGCAAAGCTTAAAGGCAGCTCTGTTGACTCCAAGATTCTCTGTTAGGATGGCTCCTATGTGCATTTTTACCTCCTTTCTGTCAACCTTCCCACCTCATTTCCCTGTCACGAAGGTCCACTTACCTTCTCCCAGTTATCTTGTACTTTCTCAACCATGACCTTGCTTTCACTTTCACTTTCTCTCCATAGAAACCCTGCTTCTCTATTTTTATAATTCTGCTCAAATATCACTGTTAAAGTGGTATTCCACCTTCCCAGTTAAAGTTTTTTATTCCATCTTCTAGAATTTTATTTTTTATTTTTGATATTTCCCTTATTGTGTTGTGTAATATTTGTGTTTGTTTCCATCTTCCTATTACATTGTAAGTTCCTAGAGGACAAGGACTACTTTATCTTAATAAACCACAAGGCCAATGCCTTGCACTTAGCAGACATGTGAAAAATGAGAATTTTAAAAATGACTTTTAGCCCTGGCCATTTTTGCTCAGCAGTTAGAGCATTGGCCTGCGGTCCAGAGAGACCCGGGTTCGGTTCCCGCTAAGGGCACATACCTTGGTTGCAGTTTGTCCCCCGCCCTGGTTGGGTCATGTGAGTGGCAACCACTCGATGTGTCCCTTTCTAGATGTTGCGCCCTCTCTCTCTCCCTCCCACTCTATCTGAACAAAAAAATGGGAAAATGTCCTCGGGTGAGGATTTAAAAAAATGAGTTTTATTCATACAAATATTTTTAGAAATTTTATTTTTATTATGATGAAATGTGAAATTCCGTCTTATTAATCCTTGTGAATTGTTGCATCCAAGTTATGAGGATGTTTTATACCCCGTTAGATGTTGTAGAATTTAATAATAAAAATTTAATAACATTGAAATTTTAAAATATAAATCAAAATTTTTTTATTTTCTATTTTCTCTTTTCCATTGAAAATTCTTATAGTGTTAGATACATGTTTAAAGCATGTGAAGTTTTATAAATATTAATTTTAACAAATAATTGAAAGAATTATTAGTACTATAAATATTCTAAATATTTCTGTGTTTTCCATTGTTTCCCCGGGTTTTAAAAAATGCCAATAAACTCTTCAGCTTCTAATTAAGACAGTGTTTTCAGTTTTTAAAAATTATTCAAAAAATTTGACACCTTTTTTGGAGATACATACAGGAATTTTTTTTTTTTTTAATCACCCGAGGACATTTTTCGATATTCAGATAGAGTGGGAAGGGGGAAGGAGGAAGGGAGGGAGGGAGGGAGAGAGGGAGGGGGAGAGAGAGAGGGAAAGAGAGAGAGAGAAAGAAACATCGACATGAAAGGACACATCGAGTGGTTATCACCCACACGACCCAACCAGGGCCGGGGACAAACTGCATCTGAAGTACATGCCCTTAGCAGGAACCGAACCTGGGTCTCTCTGGACCGCAGGCCAACGCTCTAACCGCTGAGCCAAACCGGCCAGGGCCATACAGGAATTTTTAATGGAAAAATTAAGGTCAGAAACTATGATGAAGCTAGGTTGGTGTCTACTTAAAACACATGCCATAAGATCCTACATAGCCTGATGTTAGAAATGGGCCATAAACTTGGCTTTGCTTTTGCTGTGGGCAAAGTAAATAAGAAAACATAATTAGTTACATGATCAAATGTTCATATTATCAAACCATTAGAGAAATTACTTTTATGTATCCTCACAAAGAAGGACTATCATACCAAGTAGGTAAACCAGGTCCTTACAACATCTCTGCACTAAGTCCTGGTTCAGTTTAGTGTAACACATAACGAGCCATTCACTGCAGGCTAGTGGCAGACTGTATACCTCAAAAGGATAATCATTGAGGAACCAAAATGAGAGCATACAATTCTAAGATTGACAAAGACATTTAAAATATCTCAAGGAGCATTTCCCAAGGCAGATGGTCTTTTTTTTTTTAATTGGTTTAAAATTTAAACAGTTATTTTATAAAGCAAGTACTTAAAATTTTCTCTTAAGTAATTTGATTAACTACAAACAATTTTAGAATGCATACCTTCATATTTTAGTCCTTATATACTAAGGACTATAGTCACAAAATGTAGACACATTGAAATAATATACTTAGGGCAAATGTGAACAGATCTGAAAGTCTTCTGCTCTGGCCAAAAGTTTTTTTCTTTTTAAAAAGGTTACCATAATGAATGATGTATTTGTGGTTTTTTTTTATCCTCACCCGAGGACATTTTTCCATTTTTTGTACAGATAGAGTGGGAGGGAGAGAGAGGAAGGGAGAGAGAGAGAGAAACATCGACGTGAAGGGACACATCGAGTGGCTGCCACCCGCACGACCAACCAGGGCCGGGGACAAACTGCAACCGAAGTACGTGCCCTTAGCGGGAACCGAACCCGGGTCTCTCCGGACCGCAGGCCGACGCTCTAATCGCTGAGCCAAACCGGCCAGGGCTGAATGATGTATTTGTAATCACAGTGGCCAGATTAAAGAAATAGTAAATAAATGCTAGAGGCTATATATGCATATGGCAAAAATATTAGATTTTTGGAACTCTTGTGACTGTGGTTTGGGAATTATTGACCTACCAGCACTGTTCAATTTACTATGATGGAAGTATTCTATATCTTCACTGTCCAAAATGGTAGCCAGTAGCTAAGGTGGCTGTTGAGTACATGTAGTGTGGCTAGAATGACTGAGGAACTAAACTTCTAATTTTATTTAATTTTTAGTAACTTAAATTTAAGTAACTGCATGTGACTGGTAACTAACCAGGGAGAAAGCTCAGTTCTAGAGGACAGGAAAGACTGCTTCTGTTTCAGGCTAGGTAAGATAGAGTAGCAATAAGTTTAAACTTATATTCTCCATCAGTAACAATAAAAAAAATCCTATATTTCTAAGATACATGTGTTTTAAGATAATCAGTGATTATACTTAAATTTGCTTTTCTATTTTGAACTTGAAAATTAACCAGAATGCTTAAGTGCATGATTGAGCTTTTAGATAGTAGAATTGTTAGCAAATAGTGTTAGACTAAAAACTACGTTTAAAACTTTTTTTATAAGATTCAGATATTTATTTATAAAAGTTGAAAGCTGTGGGTATACTGATATAAGACTATTTTCCTGCAGTTTCCAGAGTGTGGATTCTTTGGCATGTATGACAAAATTCTTCTCTTTCGTCATGACATGAACTCAGAAAATATTTTGCAGCTGATTACCTCAGCAGATGAAATACATGAGGGAGACCTCATAGAAGTTGTTCTTTCAGGTAAGTAAATAGCTTCCATTATTTTGTTGCCTTTTTTTTCCCAGTGAGGTTTGTTTTTTGTACTAAATGCTGTGTTCAGTTATACTATGTCTTCATACTATAGTTGCTTACTTCTTTTATCCATAATAATGGTTACCATATGATTTTTACTTTCAGAAAGATGATATCGCAGACAAGAAAGTAGGAAAATAAGCCCTGAATTACTTGAGTGTTACTGAGCTAAGGGGATTATTAATTGAACTATAAGAGAAATATACTCTTCTTTGAATCATACTCTTCTTTGAGTCAAAGAAATAAAATAATTACACTAAAATTCTGGCCCCCCTTTCTCCATTTTTGTAAAGAGTATAAAAGAAGAGAATTGGGGTTCAGAAAAGAAAATAAAAATTTAAAAAAAAGAGAAGCAATGATGATGTGAAAGAGGCAACTTCAGTACTGGCTTTTTCCATGACTTAAATATTGCTTCTTCCCTTGTTCTCAGTGGGCATTTTCTTCTCTCCTTTCCTCCTCACTCATTCTTGGCATTCATGGTTCCTTAGCTCTACCTATTTCAGCTCTCTTCCACTAAGAGGTGGGCAGAATTGTTCATGAGAAGTGTAAAGGAATAAAGAATGCATATAGTAGGCCTGCAGAGCTCCTTGTTTGGTAGGGACTGAGGGAGGGAGAGAGAAAAATCTTGAGAGGAAGGGAGGGAAGGAAGAGATGGAGGAGAAGGAAGGGAAGAAAAGAAATGAAAACCAGCCAAGAGTCTAAAGTCCTGCCACCAGTTTTCTTCTTTTCAGACTCTTTTTTTTTTCTTTATTGATCTTTTAGAGAGAGAGGAAGGGAGAATGAGAGAGAGATAGAAACATCGATGAGAGAGAACATCACTTGGCCACCTCCAGCATGCCCTGACTAGGGATTGGGCCCACAACCTGGGCATGTGCCCCGACTGGGAATCGAACCGGCGACCTCTTGGTGTATGGGTCGATGCTCAATCAGTGAGCCACACTGACCGGGCTTTAGACTCATTTTTGCAGCCTGTTCTTGAAATCCTCTCCAACCATTACCTTTCCTTATTAGTCCCTGATCCTTCCAGTTCATTTAGCACCTACATTTATCATTCATCTGCTATACCACAATCTCAGACATCTCTGTACTTCTCAGTCCTTGTCTTCTTCACTTTGAAGAGGCTTTACTCCCTGTCCTCCCTGGAGATCATGCTCACATCTATTCCTTCTTTGTTGGGGACCCTTCGTCAGGCCACTGTGAATACTAATGACTTGTAGGTGTAGGTGAGATGATGTCTACTGGTAGATGTGTCTACTGTTCAGTTGCTTACAGAGGGGAAAGGATATCTTCCTTAACCACTACAACTATAGAGAACAGACAGAGCATATCCTGAGAGCTTAAGTTAGAAATGAGTACATTTACCACAGGAACATTGCTATAAATTGAGGTCATATTCCACAATTTATATTTATTTGTGTATTTATTTATTTTATTTTAGCAGTCTATTTCCCAATGTGTTATATGTTAAACAGTTTGTATTTGGCTAAAATAGACCTAACAACTATTTGCCATCCAATCTTGTCACTATGAGAAAAGGCTTTTGGAGGTCAAAATATCTACCTACAGACCTACTTTTGGAGCTGAAATTAATTCAGGTTGATGAACTTCCTAAAATAGAGCTTAAAAACCACATTATTAAATCCTAAAAAATAATTTTATTTGAATGGTCAGGTGAAACGTTCAGAGAAAAAATGATTCTGTACTTTGACATAAATGAACATGACCAATGTTCCTCAGCTCATAGCAGTTACAAATATAAGGTTTATTTTCATATTTTTCCTTTTTAAAAGCTTTAGCCACAGTAGAAGACTTCCAGATTCGTCCACATACTCTCTATGTACATTCTTACAAAGCTCCTACATTTTGTGATTATTGTGGTGAGATGCTCTGGGGACTGGTACGTCAGGGACTGAAATGTGAAGGTATGTGCCCTAAATTTTGTACCATTTGAAATAGGGTTTCACATTTGCATTCTCTAATCATCAATGAATGAATAAGATCATTAGTTGGTGATTAGGTAGTAATCCAGGTTTAGAATTGGAGAGATCTAGACTCTGGTCTTTCCTCTGCCACGTACTGGGTCATATTCTTGGGCAACTTACTAAACCTCTGAGGATCATTTCTCTGTGAAATGTGCTCTATTGGTTTCATGAAGAGTAAATGGTTAAATGAGGTAATATGGGTAAAATACTTGGTACCGAGTAGTGGCTAAATAAATCTTAACTTCCTTATAACTTTCTTCAAACATTAGTCTTTTACATGCAACAGCAAAGTTGTTCTAAATTAGAATTGCTAGGGAATAGGATGAGATGTGGATTTCTGTTTAAGAAACTCTAAGGCAAAGGGTCAATAACATTTTTTTGTAAAGGGCCAGAGTAAATATTAAGTTTTGCTGACCATTTGGTCTCTGTCAAAACTCCTTAACTCTGCTGTTACAGTGTGAAACAAAAAAGGGCATGCTGTGTTCTAATAAAATTCTTCATGAACACTGAAATTTGAATTTCATATAATTTTCAAATGTCGTGGGAAGGATTTGGTACACAGGCCACAGTTGTTGAAGTGCTTTAAACCAGTAGTTCTAGTAGTTCTCAAACTTTACCATGCATCAAAATCACCTTGAGGATTTGTTAAAACGTACTTGGCGAGGCCCCATCCCCACCGTTTCTGATTCAATAGTGTAATTCACTTTCTAACAAATGCTTAGGTGATGCCATGCTTTCAGTAATTCACTTTCTAACAAATGCTTAGGTGATGCCATACTTGGGGACCACAGTTCAAGAACTACCACTCTGGCTAATTTAATTTACTAAATTTACCTTCTTACACATTTCTTGTTCTTGAATTTGTTAGCTTATGTTTAGCCTTTGTCTGGGTTCTTAATTAGGGTGCCTACTCCTGCCAGAGAAAATAAAAAAGCACCTGTTTTTTAATGTAACATATCAGTAAAGTTTTTTTTAATCTACTTTTTTTCTTTTGTACCTTTTAAAATATATTTAGGCTGTGGATTAAATTATCACAAACGATGTGCCTTCAAGATTCCAAATAACTGTAGTGGAGTAAGAAAGAGGCGTCTGTCAAATGTGTCGCTGCCAGGACCTGGCCTCTCAGTCCCAAGACCCCTACAAACTGAGTATGTAGCCCTTCCCACTGAAGAGGTATGTATTCCAAGGTAATAGAACAGCACTGTACTAGTTATTCCTTATTTTGTGTAGGATATATGACATGATTTTAGAACATAAGTTTTATTCTAAAGAATAGTAAGATTCCTAAAATTAAGAAGCTTAAAATGTGTTATGGAAGCAGGGTTTACCAATAGTAATGAAATGCACTTTTTATACTGTGGGCTCACGTTATCACTTGGACCTCACCGCATTAGTCTCTTAACCAGTATCCCTACTCCTGGTTTCCATACTTGACTTCATGTTACATACTACATCTGGACTATCTTATCTCACTACAGCTTAATACACAACTCTCCACCAGGAAACCTTTATATATTCTATGTTTCTGACATTTGTACTATTCAGTATTCACCAAACACATCCTTGTTCTACCTTTGCTCCTCTCTATCCTACATGTTTTTTCCAGACCCAGTTTAATAGCTACCTTTCCTGATTATTCCCTTACCTAGAAGTTCTTTTATTTTCTGAATACCATAGCACTTTTCAAACCTCCTAATGGTATGTATAGTGTTTGTATACTAGATGGTCCTCAAGGAGTTTATGACCTATTTAAAGAAAGTAATGCTCTTTTTCATGTCCAGCACAATATCTGGTACTTAGTAGGTATACTCAGTGGTGAATGAATGAATGACCTCACTGATTCCACAGTATTCCAGTGAGATATAGCAGTACATCTGTATACCATGAAACAGTTGAGATTCAGAATGGTCAAGTGACTTCACTGAAGTCATAGGGCAAATAAGTGATATTAGAAATCAACCCGAAACTGGTTATTTTTACATCAGTGACTTTTTCTTATATATTGTACCCCTCAAGTATAAAGGTAGTAGACCAGGGAAGAAAAATAACTTTCTTGTTCATTTGATAGTACTTAAAATGATTTCCATTCATAGATTATAATATTATTTAGTGGCTTTTATAAACCCTTTGGTCTTCTGTAAATTAATGCTAAAATCAAGCCTTTGGGCTGTTTTCTTGATATCCTAGTCACAAGATTTTGTAAACTGAGGCACCAGAATAAAAGCTTCAGAAATTCTTTCACAATAATTCCATATTTCTTTTTTTTTTTTTTTTTCCCCTCACCCGAGGACATTTTTTCGTTTTTTGCACAGATAGAGTGGGAGGGAGAGAGAGGAAGAGAGAGAGAGGGAAACATCGATGTGAAAGGGACACATCGAGTGGCTGCCACCCGCACGACCAACCAGGGCCGGGGACAAACTGCAACCGAGGTACATGCCCTTAGCGGGAACCAAACCTGGGTCTCTCCGGACCGCAGGTGGACGCTCTAACCGCTGAGCCAAACCGGCCAGGGCATAATTCCATATTTCCATATTGCTTAGTTTTAGTGTGAGATTTTTAAAGTAGAAGACTGCTATCACATAAGGAACTAAGAACAGTGAGTTATAAACATGTGCAAGAACTTGGGAACAGATTGGTAATAACAGAGCTAGTGCATTTTATACATGAACTGCACAGGAAACTTAGCTGGGAATGGGGAGTATGGGATAGAGATATGTTCTTTTAAGAGCCCTACAAATGATTTTGGTATGCCAGCTACCCTTAGTTGGGTGTTAGTTACTAGATTAGGAAATAATAGGACAGAGCAGGTGAATAAAACATTATGTTTTAATTCATTAGTTTATATTTTATGCTGCAGATGAACATTCCATAGGGGAGTATAAGAAGTAGAGTATATGTTTGAATTGCTTAGATTGTGCAGAGAATTTTAGAACAAGTAGAAATTGTAGAGTGGAATGTCATCAGTCCATGCATGCCATCTCAAAAAGGAAGGAGGTACAGTAAGAGAAGAACTCAGGAAAATCAAGGAAGGAAGAATGGGAAAAGAGAATACTAGAGGAATGGGAGGAGATGGCAGTGAGGAGAGGGAAATAGCCCTAAATCTGAACCAAAGATAGAGAAGAACTGTAACTCTCAAGTGGCTGCACAGTAAGAGCCTCCTAAGTTCTCATGTGCCAGACTGCATGCTATGGCACAGTCCTTGCACACATGTTCTCTACCATGTCCCAAATACCCCCATCCCAGCAGGACCTGACAAAAGGCAGTCACTAACTGGCCATTGGCATATGAAGGGATCTGTTAGGAAAGTTCTTCCTTATATAGGGATATCTTACACATTTGATGATAACTGGCAAAATTAGTCTAATTTCACCTTGTGTGTTTTAAACTTGAGACACACTGAAAGTGGTAGAAGCAGGAGCAAGGAGCAGAGTGTTGAGTCACCTCTAGATAGGGAGCCAAAGATGAACAAAGGTCCAAAACATCTGTTTCTGTTTTCTGCTGGCTTCTTTATTAGCTTTGCAGAATCACTGTGGTGTTCCTTTTGCGGAAGGTGCTCTATACACAGCAGCATGGATGAAAGGTGGGCTAGACTAGCGCAGGACACCTTGAACAAACAAGGCATACAAGTTTGGTTTGGGTTTTAACATTCTTGTAGTTTTCTTTCTGTACCGCAGGTCGACGCTCCAACCGCTGAACCAAACCGGCCAGGGCTCTTGTAGTTTTCTTAAACTACTTCATAATTCATTTTAAAAAATTTCTGGCTACACATTAGTGAAAAACTATCTATCAGAGGCTATATTTCTCTTCTTTTTATAGTGCTCTCTTCTATTTATATGTCCTTTTTTCTTCCTACTTTCTTCAAAAAGATATTTTTTCCCTCCCACCTCCTTTTATTTGTCCCTTATACTTCTGTCTCTTAGATCTCCTGGCTTCTTTTCCTTCTGTTGGTTGAACATATCAGTGTAGAATGACATAATTTTTCTGAGTTACAGACATTTGATTGTTACAGAAAGCATGTGAAAGATCTCAGGACCTCAGTTCTAGCAGTGAAGATGCAAGCAAAATATCTAGACAATAGTTAGGTATTTGGATTTTGTGCTGAAAAACATGGATTATATTCATTTTAGTATCCCCCAGACATAGTATCAGGCCTGGCCTGTAGTAATAAATGACATTGGATGAAGGGGATGAGCCACATTCAACTGACGTATAGTTTAATATGATGACTTCTTTTGTATTTATAAAAAGAGCTATAGCCCGGCCTGTGTGGATCAGTGGTTGAACATCAACCCACGCACCAAGATGTCGCCGGTTCTATTCCCGGTCAGGGTCCGTGCCCAGGTTGTGGGCCAGGTCCCCGGTGTGGGGCATGCAGGAGGCAGCCAGTCGATGTTCTCTGTCATCGATGTTTCTGTCTCTCTCTCTCCCTCTCCCTTTCTCTCTCTCTAAAAATCAATAAAGAAAAAAAATTAGAAATAAAATCAAAAGAGCTTTAGTTTTAAAAATCCACTTATCCCTCCAGTTACACATAATTTTTAATCAGCACCTTTTTAAATTTTTCTTCTTGCTCAAAAAAAAAGAAAAAGTCTAAATAAGTGGAAAATATTTAAAATATCAAGGAATTTAAAGCATAATTACTGGGGATAAAGTTGTTTTAGTTTTGTATCTGCCATTATATATATATCATCATTAATTAGACTTAAATTTTTACATACATATTTTAATATTAAAATAAATTTGAACCCTGGCTGGTTTGGCTCAACGGTTAGAGCGTCGGCCTGTGGTCCTGAGAGACCCGGGTTCGGTTCCCACTAAGGGCGCGTACCTCGGTTGCAGTTTGTCCCCGGCCCTGGTCGGTTGTGCGGGTGGCAGCCACTCAATGTGTTCCTTTCACGTCGATGTTTCTCTCTCTCTCTCTCTCTGTTCCTCTCTCTCCCTCCCACTCTGCCTGAACGAAAAGTGGAAAAATGTCCTCGGGTGAGGATAAAAAATAAATAAATTTGAAAAACTAGTTTTGAAATATTTGAAATATTTTCAGTCATTGTGTTCAGTAATTTAACATGAATAGCAATAACTTTCTGTATTTATTTACTTTTCCTGTGATTAATTCCTTGGTAGGGTTTTTGGAAGGATTGGAACATTTGTTATAAATTGATTTTTAAGGCTTTTGTTTTTTATTTGAAAAATGCCGTATGTGCCTGGCAAATAATAGATAATCAGTGAAGTATGTATATGAGGATGAAAATATCCTTTTTTTAAAAAATCATAAATGGCAAAGGAATTTTGTACTTTTCTCATTCAAGGGTTGGCAAGTTAAGTTTCCAGAGGAAACTGCTGAGATCCACATTTTTAGTTTTGGTTGTAGTGTTAAAACAAAGTGACTTTTGTGGTCAAGTCCTGCTCTTAATATTTTGTTTTTAATACTGACTTATACTTATGGTAATTACTTATGTTTTAGTCCCATGTTCACCAAGAACCAAGTAAGAGAATTCCTTCTTGGAGTGGTCGCCCAATCTGGATGGAGAAGATGGTAATGTGCAGAGTAAAAGTTCCGCACACTTTTGCTGTTCACTCCTATACCCGTCCCACAATATGTCAGTACTGCAAGCGGTTACTGAAAGGCCTCTTTCGCCAAGGAATGCAGTGTAAAGGTAAGATTGGGAGTTTTTCCTAAGTAAAATTTATAAAATTTTATTAGCAAATATAGATTTAAAATATTTACATTTAGAAGCATTAAGCAAAGAAATTGATCTCATAGTTGTTAACTTAAAAAAGAAAAATACACATATTTAGTAACAACTACTACTATTGTCTGCAGTACGTGTACTATGTACGAGGAACTATGCTAAAGAAAATTAGAATATAAACAGAAAAATTAGAATTTGGATCTCTGAGATATGGCTGCTTAACACATGCCAATATGGAACAGTTAGTAAGCAGATAAGCTGATAATTTAGCTTAATTCAGTCTTTCACATTCCAAAGACAGATACTACCTATGATATAAAATAAAGATTTTATTTTTCCATTCAATATTCACACACACACATACACACACTACAAGAGTTTTGTTATTTTTGTTTTTAATTATGTAGCTAGGAGAGTTGTACGTAAACTGTCATTCCGGAAATAGGTGGAATATAGTAGAAGCCACTTATAATAGGGACGACCCGTATTTGGATACTAACTCAAACACTCTCATAGTATTCCAAAAATACCTGTTAATGAACCAGGTTTTTAATAGAATAATGGAATAATTTTTCTTATAGTTATATAATGTTCTTATGTTTTTTAAAGATGGTTTTATCTTTTCTTAATCTCATATCTTCTCAGTATGCTGTACAGTGTGAAAACCAAAACAAGAGAGTTTAAATGTTATTAGTCATTAAACCAGGAGATGATAAGTAATCTTTTTATATCACATTACTTATTTTAACAGTTCTTAGTATCATACTTTTTTATATAGAAGTAGAAGAATTTAATGAATTTGTTTTGTTTAAAGAAACATTATAGTTGAGGTCTTTAAATCCTATTTACAATACAAAATCAAATAATTGTATATAAATTTAACTTAAATATATAAGAAAAATTTTTTTGGTAAAAATATGACAACATAGGGGAACATCAAATAGAGAACAGGTTGTATGTTTGTTGTAAAGTATTTAATAACCATCAGGCAGGCATAATTACATGTTGAAATTTTATTTCAACAGCTTACTTTTGAATATAAGTTAATATATGTTAATACTTTAAAATATCAACACTAAAGTGTATTGGCAAGCAGCAACTAAGGAATGTTTTGGGAAAGAACATTAATAACAGATGTACAAATTCTAGCCAACAGATAATATTAGTAAAGGTAGTAAAATAGTGCTGCTCTGCTGAGCAGAACAAAAACATTCTAAAACCATATGCAGGATAGTATAATATTTTGTAAAGGAACTAAAATAAATATCTAGATTAATGAATTTTGAAATAAAACCAGTTAACTCTGCCAGTGAGTTATTAGTTTAACTTCTTAGAGCTATAAAAGAATATTGTTTTGTGAATATATTGATTCAGAAAGTAGTAGGTTATATTTTCAGTTATTTTGATTATCAATTAAAACCCATCAGAACTTACTTCAGTGATTCTTCTATTTTTTATTTTTTAATTCTCATCCAACAATATGTCTTTTCATTGATTATAGAGAGAGAGCAAAGGAGAGGGAGAGACAGACATAGATAGAAACATCGATTGGTTGCCTCCTGTACATGCCCCAATCAGGGATCAAACCTGCAACCTTGGATATATTCTCTGACCAGGAATTGAACCCATGACCTTTAGGTGTACAGAACAACACTCAATCAACTAAGCCACTCTGGCCAGCCAGGACTTTGTATTTTTATAATAAGAGTTAAAATGCTTAAAAAGTAAAATAGTTATCATTTTCATTCACTTTTCAAGGTAAGAACAAAAAAAATAATTTTATTAATATAAAACAGTTATGCTGGATTATTTGAGAAAAAAATACAATTCCAAAAACAGGTATTCATTTACTCAGTCATCTGTTTATTTTTTACTTTGTTATATTGAAACTACAAGGCAACTTTAGAGCATATATAAAATATAAGCATAAACAAATTAATAAAACATGGCTAAGCCCAGCTAGTGTGGCTCAGTGGATTGAGCATCATCCCATGAACTTAGAGGTCCTGGTTTGATTCTTGGTCAGGGAACATGCCTGGGTTGTGGGCTCAATCCCCAGTAGGGGGTGTGCAGGAGGCAGCCAATCGATGTTTCGCTCTCACATTGATGTTTCTCTCTCTCCCTTCCTCTGTCTAAAAAATCAATAAAAATAAAAATATATTTTAAAAAAGTAAATAAAACATGGCCAGTAATACAGTGAAATAAAAATGCCTACCATTAGAACTTACATACTTGCTGCAGATGGACCACAAGTTTGGCTCTACATTTCAAAGGGAAAATGGAAACCTTGTTATTTTTACAATTTGCAAACCTTATGAGTTAAAAAACAAGTGAATTATTTAAGATATATGAAAGTGTTAATATGTATGATTTTACCCAGGGCCTTCATTTAAAGAGACCGGTGTTATATGATGCAAGTTTTATTATCCACCAAATTATTAATTTCATGGGGCTTTTTTTTTTTAAGTCAAGATTTAAAATTACATTTTGTATCCAGTTATTGCCAGCAGATGTATCTCAAAGATGATGTTAGACAACAGTGGGTTTCAATTTTAGTGTCACCTAAAGAGGTTATTGAAACACACATTTCTCAAGCCCACTCCCAGAGTTGCTGGTATAGTATAGATGTGGGGTGGGACCCAAGAGTTTACATTTCTAACAAGTTCTCAAATGCTGATGCTGCTGATCTGGGGACCATAGTTTGAGAACCACTGAGTTACAGAGTAGTATTGAACTGCTTTTGCCTGCTAGTGATCTGCAGTGCTATCAACTGAGGTTCCTGCAGGCTGAAAAGAACCATTTTCTTTCAGTGGACCTAAGAAGCTCAGTCCTTCCTTATAAGGTTGTATGGGAAATCAATCACTAATTCCTAATAACTGGTTGTGGAATCTCAGTGTCTTTTCTGCACATGCACTAGGTCCTAATAATTAGAAATGGAAAGTAAGGCCTAACATGTATTTGAAAGGAACCTAATCAGCCTGAGAAACCCTTAAAGGGTATTTGGAAAGATAAATGTGAGGTAAAGGAAGGAAACATGGACTTGCCAGCGACATTTTAACTTAATTTAATGGTAAAGAACTGAGCCCTGAGGAGTTAAAATAACTGTGAAAAAGTGGCCTCAGAATTTGAAACTAGACCTTTAGTCCAAGACCTGAGAAAAACTTTATTTTAGTAGAGAAAAACTTTATTGTATCACTATTGTCATTTCTAATACTCTATTTATGAGTGATTTAAAGAAAGTCTTGAATCATACCTGATATTGCCTGACTTATTACATAAATTAATAGACTGAATCTTTTATTTTAGATTGCAAATTCAACTGCCATAAACGCTGTGCATCAAAAGTACCAAGAGACTGCCTTGGAGAGGTTACTTTCAATGGAGGTAAAATCCTTTTTTTTTTTAAATGTTTTTATTGATTTTAATAGAGAGAGGAAGGGAGAAAGAGAGAGAGATAGAAACATCAATGAGAGAGAAACATCAACATTGATCAGCTGCCTTCTGCACGCGCCCTGCTGGCAATCAGGCCTACAGCCCAGGCATGTGCCCCAAGTAGGAATTGAACCAGCGACCTCTTGATACTTGGGTTAATGCTCAACCAATGAGCCACACCTGCTGGGCTTAATTTTCATAAAAGATTAGAAAAGGTCACAATTCTTTTGTGTATTAATCTTGTATAAGGTTATATTTGCATATTGTATTTTTTTATTTAACTGACTTTTTTCTGATTTAATGAAGCAAAATACAGAGATCAATAATGGTATACTTTTTTTTTATTAATCCTCACCTGAGGATATTTTTCCATTTATCTTCAGACAGAGTGTGAGGGAAGGAGGGAGGGAGAGAGAGAGAAAACATAGATGTGAGAGACACATTGATTGGTTGCCTCCTGCATGACCCAGACCAGGGCTGGGGACCAAACCACAAATGAGGTGCGTGCCCTTGACCAGAATTGAACCCGAGACTCTTTGGTCCACAGGCCAATGCTCTAACTACTGAGCCAAACTGGCCAGGGCAGTGATGGTATACTTCTATCAGTAATTATACCTTCCCATTTTTCCATTAACCACCTACCACTTTAGAGTCTAATATAGCAAATAGTGCTACATATTTTCTTTCATCTTTAGATGTAAAAAGACTTACTTTAAAACCCTGTTGTTATCCCTAGAACTATTTCATAGTTGTAGCATTTATTGACTGCTTACTATATGCCAGGCACTATTCTAAGCTCTTTACACATACTGAAATTTAAACTTAAGAACAACCCTTTCAGGTAAATACTCACAGATGAGTTAACTTAGGCACAAAGATACTAAATAAGTTGCCCATGAAATATTGCCAATAAGTGGTAAAGTTGGATTTGAACCCATATGGTCTGGCTTCTTAGTCCATAGTTATCAGAACACATTGTACAGCCTCACTGTCTCTTTCTCCATTAAATAACCATTAACTAAACTTCTCTGCTTTTTTTGCCCTTGTTTTTCTCTTTTCAAGATTATAGTAATTAAAGTGATTTCCTTTTTTGGAAGGAAGGAGTAATAACTGTAAGCTTTCAGCATAATTTTTCTTTAACATTTCCATGACTGGTAAAAATTGAATGTAAATAGTTCTGTAAGAGGAAAAGCATAAGGGATGGAAATTATACAGCTCCTTAAGAATTTAACATTTTCTCTTGTCATGTTTTCTATGATTGCTGTTTAACACCATTGACAGCATAATTGGTTTTCTTGTTTTTTCTGTATTACTGAAGTCTTTTTGTGTATTTTTACACTTGTTGACAAATGGATATGAAATACTATTTGTATTTATTTTAATGTGTATTTATCTGTATACTAATGAATTTGAGCATCTTTCAAGTGTTTACTGGTTATTCAGGGGTTTTTCCACTGTAAATTGCCTGTTTACATGTTTTGTCCATTTTTTTATTGATATATTTGTTAATGATTTGCAGGAGTTGTTGATAATCTACCTAATTCTTTGATAGTTATATGTGATCTAAACTCTTTCAGTTGCTGGATTGTCATTTTTTAAACAGCTTTATTTAGATATAATTTGTACACCTTACAGTTCACTCACTTAGTTTATTCACAAAGTTAATGCAGCTGTCACTACAATTTAATGTTAGAACATTTTCATCACCCTGAAAAGAAATATACCCATTAATGGTCATTCTTCCTTATTAGCCCCTGGAAACCACAAATCATATTTCTGTCTCTATGGGTTTGTATGTTCTAGACATTTCATATAAATGGAATCATGTGGTATGTACTCTTTTGTGACTGGTTTCTTTCATTAGCATAATGTTTTCAGGGTTTAGCCACATTATAACATTATTTTTTTTATCAATGAATAATATTCCTCTATGTGAATATGCTATGTTTTACTTATCCATTCACCAGTCAGTGGACATTTGAGTTGTATCCACTTTGGGCTCATTATGAATAATGATGCTGCTGTGAACATTTGAGCATAATTTCTATGGATATATAGTTTCATTTCACTTGGGTAGATACCTGGTAGTGGAATTGTTGAATCATATGGCAAACTCTGTTTAAAATTTTGAGGACTGCCAAACTGTTTCCAAAGCAGCTGAAATATTTTACATTCCCACCAGCACTGTGTGAGGATTGTAATTTCTCTGCATCCTCACCATCTCTTTTTATTGTCTGTTATTTTGATTATTGCCATCCTAGTGAGTATGAAGTGATATCTCATTGTGATTTTTATTTATTTATTTATTTATAATTTTATTTTTGTTACAGATGTTTCTCCTTTTTACCCCATTGACACTCTCCTCCCCATCCCCCCCACCCCGTCACCGGCTTTGTTGTCCATCTCCATTGGTTATGCATACATGCATATAAGTTCTGTGGTTTATCTCTTCCCAGCCCCCATGACCCCCTCTTCTGAGGGTTGTCAGTCTATACCCTACTTCCATGTTTCTGGGTCTACCCTATTCCTCAGGCTGTTATATTCATTATATTCCATATATAAGTGAGATCATGTGGTATTTGTCTTTTTCTGCTTGGCTTGTTTCACTTAGAATAATACTTTCCAGGTCCCTCCATGTCGTCTCAAAGGATAAGATCTTTCTTTCTTACAGCTGCATATTACTCCATTGTGTAATATGTACCACAGCTTTTTTATCCATTCGTCTACTGAAGGACACTTGGGCTGTTTCCAGATCTCAGTTATTGTAAATGAACATGAATTGTTATGAACATGGGGGTACATATATTCTTTCTGATTGGTGTTTCAGGCTCCTTAGGGTATATTCCTAGAAGCGGGATCATTGGGTCAAATAGAAGTTCAATTTTTAATTTTTTGAGGTAACACCATATTGTTTTCCATAGTGGCTGCACCAGTCTGCATTCCCACCAGCACTGTACTAGAGTCCCCTTTTCTCCACACCATCGCCAACACTTTGTTGATGGCGGCCATTCTGACAGGTGTGAAGTGATACCTCATTGTTGTTTTAATTTGTATCTCTCTGATGATTAGTGATGTTGAGTATTTCTTCATATGTCTCTTAGCCATTTGTATGTCCTGTTTGGAGAGGTGTCTATTCAGCTCTTTTGCCCATTTTTTAATTGGGTTCTTTGTCTTCCTTTTGTTGAGTTGTATGTGTACTCTATATATTTTGGAAATTAACCCCTTATCTGATACATCATTGACAATGATGTTCTCCCATGCAGTGGGTTGCATTTCCATTTTGATGGTGGTTTCTTTTGCTGTGCAGAAGCTTTTGAGTTTGATGTAGTCCCATGTGTTCATTTTTTCCTTTGTTTCTGTTGCCTTAGGTGATGTATCAGTGAAAATTCTGCTGCGTATGATGTCTGAAATTTTGTTGCCTACATTTTCTTCTAGAATTTTTATGGATTCATGGGTCACATTTAAATCTTTTATACATTTTGAGTTTATTTTTTGTATGGTGTAAATTGATGGTCTAGTTTCATTTTTTTGCATGTAGCTGTCCAATTTTCTCAACACCATTTATTAAAGAGGCTGTCTTTACTCCACTGTATGCTCGTGCCACCTTTGTCAAATATTAATTGAGCATATTGCCTTGGGTCCATTTCTGGGTTCTCTATTCTGTTCCACTTCTCTATATGCCTCTTCTTGTGTCCGTACCAGGCTGTTTTGATTACAGTCACTTTGTAGTATAACCTGATATCTGGTATTGTGATCCCACCTACTTTGTCCTTCTTTTTCAAAATTGCTGTGGCTATTCGGAGTCTTTTTTGGTTCCATATGAACTTTTGAAGTATTTGTTCTAGTTCTGTGAAATATGTCGTTGGTATTTTGATGGGGATTGCATTGAATCTATACATTGCTTTGGGTAATATGGACATTTTAATGATGTTAATTCTTCCAATCCATGAACAAGGTATGTGCTTCTACTTTTTTATATTTTAAGGTGATTATTGATATGTACTTATTTATTGCCATTTTTGTTTAGTTTGGTTATATTTTTCTTCCTATTTCTTCTACTAATTACAACAGTCCTTTTAACATTTCTTGCAGTGCTGGTTTGGTGCTAATGTATTCCCTTAACCTTTTTTTGTCTGGGAAGCTCATTATTTGCCCTTCTATTTTGAATGACAGCCTTGCTGGGTAGAGTAGTCTTGGATTCAGATCCTTGTTTTTCATGACCTTGATTACTTCACGCCATTTCCTTCTGGCCTGTAGTGTTTCTTGTGAGAAGTCAGCTGAGAGCCTTATGGGGTTTCCTTTGTAGGTAACCTGTTGCTTATCTCTTGCTGCTTTTAGGATTCTCTCTTTGTCTTTAATTTTTGGCATCTTAATTACTATGTGTCTTGGTGTGGGCCTGTTTGGGTTCTTCTTACTTGGGGCTCTCTGTGCTTCTTGAACTTGAATGCCTTCTTCCTTCACCAAATTAGGGAAGTTTTCTGTCACTATTTCTTTGAATATATTCTCTAACCCTTGCTCATTTTCTTCTTCGGGGACTCCTATGATGCGAATATTATTACATTTCCAGTTGTCCCACAGTTCTCTTAAGCTGTCTTCCTGTTTTTTAATCGTTTTTTCCTTTTGGTTTTTTGATTGGTTGATTTTTTTCTATCCTGTCTTCTAATTCACTGATCCGGTCCTCAGCTTCCTCTACTCTGCTCTTTAGACTTTCCAATGTGTTCTTTATTTCTGATATGTCACTCTTGATCTCTTCTTAGTGGTTTTTAATTTCCAATTGGTTGATTTGCAGCAATTTCTATTTCCTTACTCATGCTGTTGAGCTTCCTCAAGATCATGGCTCTGAATTCTAGCTCTGTTAACTTGCCTAACTGCTCCACATTGATATCATCTTCGGTGGAGGTCTCTTGTTCTTTCATTTGGCTTTTGTTTCTGTGTTTCACCATTTTGGCTATCACAGTGGGCTTTGGAGTCTGCCAAATTTTCCCTGTGGGTGTTGGTGTTCTGCTGTTTGTGGCTCCCTCTCCTGGGTTTAGATGAGCGAGGGAGGACTCACTTTAAACACCACTGTCAAGTCTTACTTTCCTGGTTAGAGTTGCTAGCCCAGGAATTGTACTGTTATCCTCTAGCTTTTTGCCTGGAGGCTAGCAGTCCAGGTTACTTGAAGAGTTTTGGGTTATCAGTTGATTGAAAAACTATCTCAGGTGCTCAGGTCTTAGTGTAAGGGGATTTCCCCAGGGTGGGGCAGATGCAGGTTGTTAGTGAGCCTCAATTTGCATTTCAATGGCCCACAGGGTGGGGTTGGATCTCCGTGGGAGGGGCTGCTGCCTCTCCCCAGAGCTCTGGGAAGGAGCAATATGGCCACCGTTCTGCGTGGCAGCAACTCAGCAAAAGCTCTGAATCCAAATCCCAAGTGTCCCCACACAGTTCCAGTCCAGTATGCCCTCCCTGTGCCGGAGCCCAAGGTGAGTGGCTGTGGCTGTTTCAGCCTCTGTCCTGGCTCTGCGCTGTGGAGCCGCCTGGGAGTGTAACCCGAGGGCACTGCTCACAGCTAAGGCCGCTGCCGAGCTGCTGACCGTGAGCTCTCAGCCTACGTCTCCAGCCTTCGCAATCCTACCAGGATCGAGTCAGTGCCCCTGGTTATATGGTCCTCGCAAGCTGCTTTTCTGTTGCTTTTTCCCGTCAATTTGTCTGTGTTTTAGTTGTAATTTAGTTGTCTGTGTTTAGTTGGTCCTGGGAGACGGTCTGTGTAGCTTCCGTTCACTCCGCCGCCATTTTGGAATTCTCTCTCATTGTGATTCTGATTTGCATTTCCCTGTTGGCTAATTGATATTGCATATCTTTTCACGTACTTATTGGTCATTTTTACATTTGTTTTGGAGAAATATCTGTTTTTGTCTTTTTGCCCATTTTGCTAGGTTGTTTACCTTTTTATTATTGAATTGTAAGAGTTTAAATATTCTAGATACAAATTCCCTTGTTTGATATGTGATTTGTGAATACTTTAATTTTGTGGGCTCTTTTTACTTTCATGAGGTATCATTTGCAAAATAGAAGATTTTAATTTTGATGAAGATCAATTTATTTACTTTTTCTTTTTTTTTTATCCTCACCGAGGACATTTTTCCATTTTTTTTATTCAGACAGAGCAGGAGGGGGAGAGAGGAAGAGAGAGAGAGAGAAACATCGACGTGAAAGAGACACATTGACTGGCTGCCACCCACACGACCCAACCAGGGCCGAGGACAAACTGCAACTGAAGTACATGCCCTTAGCGGGAACCGAACCCGGGTCTCTCTGGACCGCAGGCTGATGCTCTAACCGCTGAGCCAAACTGGCCAGGGCAATTTATTTACTTTTTCTTTTGTCACTTATGTTTTTGGTGCCATAGATATCTAAGAAGGTTTTGCCTAACCCAAGGTCACAGAGATGTACTCCTATGTTTTCTTCTAAGAATTTTATAGGTTTAGATCTTGCATTTAGGTCTGTGATCCACTTGAAGTTAATTTTTTTTAAAATCCTAACCCAAGAATATTTTTCTATTTATCTGTAGTCAGAGTGGGAGGGAGAGAGAGAAACATCGATGAGAGAGAGAAACATCGATGTGAGAGAGACACATCGACTGGTTGCCTCCCACACAATCCCAACCAGGGCCGGGGACGAAACATAGCTAAGGTACGTGTCCTTGTCCAGAATCGAACCCGTGACTCATTGGTCTACGAGCTGACACTCTACCTCTGAGCCAAACCGGCCAGGGCTGAAGTTAATTTTTGTATTTGGTTTAAGGAAGGGGTCTAATTTCATTTTTTACATGTAGCTATCCAGTTGTCCTAGTACCATTTATTGAAAAGACTGTGTATTCTGCTCTGGCTGGTTTGGCTCAGTGGTTAGAGCATCGGTCTGTGGTCCAGAGAGACCCGGTTTGGTTCCCACTAAGGGCATGTACCTCGGTTGCAGTTTGTCCCTGGCCCTGGTTGGGTTGCGCCAGTGGCAGCCACTCGATGTGTCCCTTTTACATCGATGTTTCTCTCTCTCTCTCTCCTCCTCTCTCTATCTGAATAAAAAATGGAAAAAATGTCCTCGGGTGAGGATAAAAAAATAATAATAATAAAAATTATTAAAAAAAAAAAAGAAGAAGACTGTGTATTCTTTTTCCATTGAATTGCCTTAGAGTCTTGTAGAAAATCAGTTGACCAGAAGTATAATAGAGGTGGCCAATGTTTTACTTTGTTTCTAGTATCTTTTGTCATATACAAATTTAAAATTCTAATGTAGTTCAGCCGCTGTGGCTCAGTGGTTGAGCATTGACCGATACACCAAGAGGTCGCTGGTTCAATTCCCGGTCAGGGCACATGCCCAAGTTGTGGGCCAAATCCCTAGTGGGCATGCACTAGGGGGCCAGTTGATGTTTTCTTTCATCAATGTCTCTGTCTCTCTCTCCCTCTCCCTTTCTCTCTCTCTAAAAAGAAATCAATAAAGGAAAAAAACTTTAATTCTAATATCCAATTAATGTTTTGCTTCATGGTTTGTGCATTCCTTAAGAAATATTTCTTTATCATAAATCATAAAGATATTTTCCTACATTTTTATTTGAGTTTTAAAACGTTTTTCACATTTAATATACTGTTTTTGTTTAGATGTATTGATATCCTATTAGTATAAAATTCTAAAATTTATTTAAAACTTTGCCAGAACCTTCCAGTTTGGGAACAGACACAGATATACCAATGGATATTGACAGTAGTGATATGAACAGTGATGGTAGTAGGGGCTTGGATGACACGGAAGAACCATCTCCCCCGGAAGATAAAATGTTCTTCCTGGATCCATCTGATCTTGATGTAGAAAGAGATGAAGAAGCTATCAAAACAATCAGGTAATACATGTTTAAGTATTGCAAACTACTTCCAAAGGGAAGGTCAGTCCAGGAGCTCCATTAATGAAGAAAAATCCACATCTCTTTAAGTAGAATCAAAATGTAATTTGAAATCTAATTTAAATTATGGCTAATTCTTTGACTTGCACCACAGTATTTCAGAAATAAACTATATTACTCTTTCCATCCACTCAAGATGGAAAGGTATGAGGATTCTGTTTTCTTAAAGAGAAAAATGCCTTGTTTAATTATAGTCTAGATGTGATATCTAGCTGTGAAGCAGCTTCCCCAAGGTGCCAGAATTGAACCACCAGTTAAAGCAACCAGTTTCACGCAGATTACCCGATGTTAGAAACATGGTAAGACTATATACCTGAGACTGTTACACGGACATGATGGTGACAAATTTAGGGGCAATTTTTATTACTATCACAATTAATCTTTGTGAAAATGCCGTTTGCTTATAAAACTTGTAAATATTACCTGTGTTAACAGAAATTCAGTATTTTGTATACACAGCCTTATAAGGATATACTTCTTTGTTGAATGTTAACATTTTGGCAGCTTTTGTTTTTCATTGACAACAAAGAGGTATTTAAAGGAAATCGGTCATTTATCAATCTGACACAGCAGTGTTGTCATTCATTTTGCTTATTCTTAAATTACAGTTTTTATTACCATATCGTTATTCACTAAAACATGTTTACCAAATTTGGAGAGTATTGAGAGAACTTAGTTTCCTAAGTGAATACTTCATGATTTTAAGAAAAAGTATTTAACTGTTAGAGACTCAAAAAATAGTGGGTTTATTGCCCTGGCTGGTTTTGCTCAGCGGTTAAAGTGTCGGCCTGCAGTCTGGAGAGACCCGGGTTCGGTTCCCGCTTAAGGGCATGTACCTCGGTTGCAGTTTGTCCCCGGCCCTGGTTGGTCGTGCGGGTGGCAGCCACTCGATGTGTCCCTTCACATCGATGTTTCTCTCTCTCTCTGTTCCTCTCTCTCCCTCCCGCTCTACTTGAACAAAAAATGGAAAAATGTCCTCGCAGAGGATAAAAAAAAATAGTGGGTTTTTTAATACACACCCCCAAAATTAGTCTTTCTTCAGACACACTGTTACTATTTCAGTATTACCTGATTTGACTCATTACATTATTTTCTTAATATCTGTAAATAATTTTTCCCCCAGTATCTTCTAGAAGTACTAACAACATGAACAATGGAATTTGACTTTTGAATCATGAGGATTTGAGAAAAGGTGTTTCACCTTGTTGTGAACTAATTTATCATGCTGCCTAGGGCAGAAAACTTTCTCAGTTCCGAATGAGACCCTCTCTCAGGCGCCAGGTCTTCTAATTGGGGAGGATTCTTTCTGTTCTGTTCATTGTTTTCTTATGTTTTATGACCTCTGGAAAGTATTTATGACAAATAATAAGGACTTACAGTGTTATCTTAATCTTTTATAGATCAACTATATTCGTGTAACAGTATAAATTTATTCTTAAGCCATTAAAATATTTTAACTCATTATCTTTTAAAAGGCTTAACTTACAGTATGCATATGATTTTTCAATTGAAATGATCAGTATTTATCATAAATATTTTATTTTAGTCCATCAACAAGCAATAATATTCCGCTCATGAGGGTCGTACAGTCCATCAAGCACACAAAGAGGAAGAGCAGCACAATGGTGAAGGAAGGATGGATGGTCCATTACACCAGCAGGGATACCTTGGTCAGTAACCACGGATATTTAAATATAATAGTGAAACTTTGTTATGTGTTTTATTCTGTACATTACTATATTAAAAACAGAATGAGATATATATATTTGAATAGAATTTTTAAAAGGAAGAATAGTGAATATATTGTCTTACGAACTGGTGGAGCAGTAGAAGTTCAGAAAGGGTCTAAAGATAGACCCTTTGCAACAAACACCAAATGCATAATCTACAAAAGAAATAGTTGATAAGCTGAACTTGATTACAATTAAAAACTTCTCTATGAGAGATAATGTCAAGAGAATGGAGAGACAAGCCACAAACGAAGAAGATATTTGCAAAAGAGACCTTTGACAAAAAACTATTCTCTAAAATATGCAAAAATCTCATAAAACTCAAGAGTAAGAAAACAGTGCTATTAAAAAATGGGCTCAGGACCTTCACATATACCTTGCCAACAAAGGTACACAGATGGCCAATAAGTACATGAAAAGATAGATGCTCCATATCATATGTCAACAGGGAAATGCAAATGAACGATATACCACTATACATATACTAGTATGGTTAAAATCTAGAACATTGACAAACATTAAATGCTGATGAGGATACAGACTATCAGGTACTTTCATTCATTGCTGCTGGGAATGCAAAATGTTAGTCACTTAAGATGAAAACTTATGAATGTTTATAGTAGTACCTTTATGCATAATTGTCAAATCTTGGAAACAATTCAAGTGATCTTCAGTAGCTGAAAAGTGAAATGTGGCACATCCAGACAATTAAATAGTATTAATAGCTCAAAAGCAATGAACTAGCAAGCCATGAAAAGACATAGAGGAACCCTAAATACCTTTTACTAAGAGAAAAACCAATGAACAGAGTTCACAGACAAGGAAATACAAATGACTCTTAAATATAAGAGCATGATCTTAAAATGCAATTTAAAATTTCACTGAATATCAGTTCTTATTTATCAGTATAGTAAAGATCAAAAAGCTTAGTAACATACTGCATTTGTGAAGGTGTGAGTAAACAGGTACTCTCATGTTGTTGATTGGCCTTTAAATTGGCCTTGTTATGTAGGATGATTTAATACTGTCAAGCAAAATTACATGTACACGTATCTTTTGACCCTGGAAGCCAATCTTTAGAAATTTAGCCTATCTGTGTAATATGTATGTATTTGTGTGTGCATGCACAAAATTCTGTAAAAGGATTTCCAAAACCTAGTAACACTCCTATACATACGTAAGGTAGGGGTGGTGTATGAGCGATGTATAAGTGGAAGTGTACTTTTCACTATATATTTTTTATATATTTTCAGAATTTTGAACCTCATGAACTTTAAACCTATAAAAATGTATTGATTTATTAATCGAAATGAAAGGAAAAAGAAAAGTACTTGGGATGAATTATTATTTTTTAACTTCACAGTTTTATGTTCTTTATTTTATAGAGAAAGAGGCATTATTGGAGACTTGACAGCAAATGTCTAACATTGTTTCAAAATGAATCTGGATCAAAGTATTACAAGGTAAAGATATCATATTTTTTAAAAATGTACTTGAGCCCTGGCCGGTTTGGCTCAGCGGTTAGAGCGTCCACCTGCGGTCCGGAGAGACCCGGGTTCGGTTCCCGCTAAGGGCATGTATCTCGGTTGCAGTTTGTCCCCGGCCCTGGTTGGTTGTGCGGGTGGCAGCCACTCATGTGTCCCTTTCACATCGATGTTTCCCTCTCTCTCTCTTCCTCTCTCTCCCTCCCACTCTGTCTGTACAAAAAATGGAAAAATGTCCTCGGATGAGGATAAAAAAAAAAAAATGTACTTGAAAATATTGTATGTTTTCCAGATATATCTGAATAATATTCATTAATTGTTACATTGAACTATACCTATTGGGACTCTGCCTAATATAGTTTATAGAAGTCACTGCTCAGTTCTTTGTTGTTGAAGTACTTGTCCCCTACCCATCCTTATCACCCTCCATAATAGTTCTGCTTCAAAATGTTCTTTTGTTGTGTGTTTCTGTTTTTGGTTTGCCTGTCAGGTTGTTGCTGCTTTACTTCTGGTACTATGACTTAGATTAAACTGTTTAGAAACTCACATGACCATTGCCTGTCCAGAATAGGCCAACATGGTATTCGGTGTTTCTCTCACCTTCCATTTTACCTTAGAACCCAGTTCCCAAATGCTTCTTTTGGTTCCGTCTACTCTGTATAGTGTTCTTTGCTTGGCTTGCTCCACATTTTGCCCTGTCACTCACTCACTGACATCAGCAAGATTGTAAGTGTGCCAAGTGTATCAGTAAGAAAGAGAATAGAAACAAATGACTTAAATTGTGTTTGTTTTTTTAATAAAATGTTTTGCCTTAGGAAGTGGACTAAATATAAATGATTGTTACAGCTATGGACAGAACCAGGATGGAGTGCTCAAACAACCCACACTGACATTGTAATTTGCTGTTATTGTTTCTGCTTTATACTCCTTTTGGGTATATATGTATCTTATAGATAACAGCCAGTAGAGGAGTAGTCGTTGATCTGATTTAATGACAATTGGAAAGTGACAAGTATTGGATATAGCGACAACTGGCTTCCTAACTCCCCTCTTCCCTTATATTCTAATGACCTGCGATAGGCCTGAATCACTGACAGTTGTTATACTCCAAGCTTTGCCTCTGGCCTTGCCAGACATGCAGATCATTCAAGGCAGTAACTATCGTAAGATTTAATTGTGCTTTCCATAGGCCACATACTTGTGTTCGTCTTAATAGCATTTATTAAAAATTTATATCTTTGATTGTTTATTATATTGAAAATAAAAACAAAGACGTTTTATATTTTCCAATGCTTAACTTTTTACTTCAGGAAATTCCGCTTTCAGAAATTCTACGCATATCTTCTCCACAAGAGTTCACAAACATTTCACAAGGCAGCAACCCACACTGTTTTGAAATCATCACTGATACTATGGTATACTTTGTTGGTGAGAACAATGGGGACAGCTCTCACAATCCTGTTCTTGCTGCCACTGGAGTTGGACTTGATGTAGCACAGAGCTGGGAAAAAGCAATTCGCCAAGCTCTGATGCCCGTTACCCCTCAAGCCAGTGTCTGCACTTCGCCGGGGCAAGGGAAAGATCACAGTAAGCAATAAGCTTGTTGATGGCTTTTTTTCCCTCCTTTGGTTCTTAAGCATTTTGTAGTGTGGTCATGTTTTCTGTATGTATTTTTAATGCTCATTTTGAGCTTCATCTGTTGTAACCAGTACCATTAGTTAATTCCTTGTACAGGTATGTTGGTTATAGTGTGTACATACAGTCCCCTAAAGCTAGGCCCCAGAGTCAGTCTTCTTACATTTAAATCCTGGCTTGGCCAACTTGCTATGTGATCTTAGATGAGGGCTCTCTCTAATAGTACCTTCTTTATAGGGTTTTCATTATTAAATGAAGAACCTATAAGATATACAGCAGTGTTTGGCATCCATGAATTCTCATTGGATTAACTTCTAGTATTAGTATTTTGCTTCATGGTGGGATATAACAGGCTATAAAGTGTTATGGTTCACATCAATCTGTGAAGTCAGAAATACTCATTTCTTTTAAATGAATTAAAACATTCAGAAATATTAAAAAACCATTGAAACATATGTCCTTTGCACCAACAAATCTGATAAAGTTTGAAGTGAACACTTAATCAGAAAACCATAGTATATGGCACTTTTCCTCCATTAACATTATGTTATTTATGGGAAAACATTATTTACTAGACAGATATATTTCAATTGAAACATATTAACCAGTTTCTAAATATACTTTATTTCAGTTCATTGTATTATTTTGTGCAGCTATTCTTGGCATTATGCTAGGCCCTGAACTAGAATACAAAGAAAACCAGAAATTTTAAAAGCTATTTAAGGAGATAAGACATAGGCACAAGTGTAAGGTGGTACATAAAGCAGTAGAGTGCAAAAATGAGTAATACATTACTCAAGAAATTTAGATGTGGATAGGAAGAGTTTAAACAGAGACTTCATGGTAGAAGAACCTGATTTGGATTTTGAGCTTGAATCTCAGGTAGGTTAGGATAGGCAGGGCTAAATGTTAGAGGTGGATGGGGTAGTGTTCTCTAGTTGAGATAAGTGTGATCAAAGGGACAGGAGTAATGACCACGAACATGTTTGGTGTCTAATATTGATTATTAGAAGGTGAGCAGATAGATATACACAGTGCTCCTTAAGTTTGGAAGGGATTTTAGACAGAATGTAATATATTTGAATAAAAATCATGGACCTTTTCCCCAGTATAACACAGACACATGCACACACATTCCATATAACTGGATTAGGGGCCTTCGCAAGCCCATCCATGGACCTCCTCCCTAGGGTTAAGGGTTCCTAAAAGCAGAATTAGAAGGGTTAGAGTGAGAATTCTGGAGGATGAAACCCCAGTTCTGCCGCTTACTAGCTATGTGATCTTGGCCTCTGCATTTCTCTAAGGTGGGAATAATAAATGCTCTTCATGCATTTAGCACAGTTTCTGACACATTAGTGAGTTATTATTGTGTTGCTCCAGCTGTTGCTGTTCTTTTAGCAATCTTTCTGGAGCAGAGTTCTCCTGGGAAACAGTAGAAATTAAAACTGGATGGAGGCCTTTGAAACAAAATAAATATTAACTGAAACTGGGAAACTGAAACTACTGAAAAAGCAGTTTTCGAGACATTAATTTTGTGGATGCTGTGCTTTTTTGTTTCATTAATATTCAATATTTGAAATATTTTTAGACTTAAAATGGAGTTTGTCACAGTCATGTTACTTATTTTTAATGTATAATTTACTTACATTTTCTTGTTAATGAAGTTTTATATTTTTATATTTGAGTTATAACGGAAATTTCATATCTTGTTTCTTCGCATTGTCTCCAAGTGTCTGGATGGTTGGTTATCTTGTCTCTTGCTTACTTTCCATGTTTCTCTTTTCCTTGTTAATTACTTACTTTCTTCCCAAAGTAATATAAACATTTAAACTTTATAGAAATATATCACATAAAACCAGAAAGTACTCCCTATACACATAAAACACCATCCCCATTCCCAATTCTATATCTTCCCCCTCAGATTATTAATAATTATTAATAATTTGGTGTATATTTATTGGTTTGGGGGGGGTTGGGAGAAGGAGTACCTATGCTATATATTTTGATATTTTTATTTTTACCACAAATGTGGTCATACTCTGTGTTCTTTCTACATCTTGCTTTTATCCACTATTTAATATATCAGATTTATTTCAATGTGACTATATAGATTTACCTAGTTTTTAATTTTTTTATTAAAGTAATGTATATGCTATTTATGTTTCAAAAAATACAAACCAGCCCTGGCCGGTTTGGCTCAGCGGTTAGAGCATCAGCCTGCGGTCCCGAGAGACCCGGGTTCGGTTCCCGCTAAGGGCACGTACCTCGGTTGCAGTTTGTCCCTGGCCCTGGCTGGTCGTGAGGGTGGCAGCCACTCGATGTGTCCCTTTCATGTCGATGTTTCTCTCTCTCTCTCTCTCTCTTCCTCTCTCTCTCTCCCACTCTACCTGAACAAAAAAATAGAAAAAATGTCCTCGGGTGAGGATAAAAAAAAAAAAAATACAAACCATATAGAAGTGGATAAAAGACTATAAAATCTTTGTTCACCAGCCCTAGCTCTCTCACTCACCCGAAGTAATGTTTAGATAATATTCCTTTGTGTGGATGTAGCATATATGACCGAACCAGTTTCCTCTTCCTGAACTAGTGCTGCTTGTGTAAACTTTTATTTTAATAAATGTTATTACATGATATTAACTGAATGTTAGCTAGTGGTTTAAATTTAAAATACTGTGGGTGTTCACGTATTAGGAAATATTAATATTGTTAAGTCATATACTAACAATTTTGTTCTTTTCTTATACATCATTCTTATATTTTACAGAAGATTTGTCTACTAGTATCTCCGTATCTAATTGTCAGATCCAGGAGAATGTGGTAAGTAAAAATGACCCTTTCTTTGTATCCTTGGGTCTCATATCCATGAATTCAACCAACTGCAAAACAAAAACAGTATTTTTGTTCTATAGTTGGTTGAATCCTCAAATGCGAAAGGCGAACAGTGTTTAAGATTTGGAGGCGTCAAAGGTAATATGTTGATTTTTTTACTGCATAGGGGTTGGCACCCCTCACCCTCCATGTTGTTCAAGGGTCAGCTGTACAGATTTTTTTATATGTCAGGCACAGGACATCTTTTAATTTACTCAGAAATCTAGTGAGATAAATGCTATTATATCCACTTTATCAATGAAGAAATTGAGGCTTAGAAGACTAAATTATTTAATCGAGTGACTGCCATGAGACTGGCACTGGCTAGGAATATAACACTAAACAAGACAGAGACCCCAGCTTCATGGAGGGTGACTTTGACTAAAGAGCTACTGAAGGCATTAGAGAGTGCTCCCCCACAAGATTTTTCTGACAACCATCATTTTTTTTTTTTTTTAAAGGAAAGGGATAAAATTAAGGAGTGGATTTGAATTACAGACTTCCTCGTACATACTCTTTTCATCAGTTTTTCTAAACTAGCCTAATCTTAGTAATATGAACCTTTTAAGTTTTTTGTTTGTTTTTCAAATCAAAGTTGGCAAGTCTCTTTAATGGTAAAACTTTATTCTTAATTTTTGTTTATTTACTTTTTATAGATCACTAGTTAACAAATGTAAGATTTTTTTTTTTTTAGTCAAAGCATTTTTCCCCAGTGGTCTTCTAACAGAATACATTATGCTTGCATATTGAGAGTGATAGTGTGAAAATCAGGCTTACTTTCCTAGAACATAGAAAGCCAGTGTTTCATAAAATATTGCTATGAAAATTAGCTGCCTGTGTCATAAAAACAAAAATGTATTTAAGTGTTTGAATGAAGAGTCAGAGATGTTGACATTGCTTTTTGTAAAGGTAAATTATACTTACTGCTTACTCTTTTCTAAATAGGACATCAGTACTGTTTACCAGATCTTTGCAGATGAGGTGCTTGGTTCAGGCCAGTTTGGCATCGTTTATGGAGGTAAGTGGCTACAGCCATTTATATATTTTACATACTATAGAAAAAGGGTGAAATTTAAAACATCTGCCAGCTATTACATCTTGTCACAATTAAGTAGCAGAAAGAATAAGAAAATTCGTTTCACAATAGCGTTACTTTAGCACTTCTTGTAGCTCATATATATTTGTGTGGGAAAAATAAATGGTTTGAAATTGTGCTTGTTTACTGAAGTATATGTCCTACAGGTTTTCCAACACAAATGGGACCATTTGTTTACTGTTTGCTCTGTGACTTAGGATATTGGCAAAGTCATTTAACTTTACTGTGTGCCTCAGTATCTTCATCAGTTTAATGGAGCTAATAAAAGCTACTCTGCGTAGTTCACAGGATTGTTAATATTAATTAAACTTAATGTACATAAGGGTATTTTATAAGTTATGATCCACATTACAAAAGAAAAGTAATGTTAAACCCTTGTCATCCCTTTCAAAGACTTATAGTAGTCTCCTAGTTGGCCTTACTGCCTCTGGGCTTGCTCTGATATTTGGTTAAATCACTCTGTGCTGACTCAGTGAACCTAGAATAAAATTAATTCATTGGTACAATGTTTCCATTTTGACAAAGTCTCTGAATACCAAGCGAGGATAGTTAACTATCATTTATTTAACAAGGTAGATTATTTTTCACCAAACAAGTTGATTCAAATTTTCTGCCATTTCAAATAATGAAACTCCCTTTATTAGGGGCAAATAATTTATTTCTCAAAATTAAAGATGAATGAAAGAGAAAGAACAAAATGAGCCAAAGAAAAGAAACATAAGATTAAATTTATATAAATTTCAGTCTGTGGACAACTTTCTAATAAAGCTTTTGTATTGTATGTGTCAATTTGCTGCTTCTTTTCTATAATTTTTTTTTTTAATAGGAAAACATAGAAAGACTGGAAGGGATGTGGCTATTAAAGTAATTGATAAGATGAGATTTCCCACAAAACAGGAAAGTCAACTCCGTAATGAAGTGGCTATTTTACAGGTAAAAAAAAAATGTTGCTTTATGTTGGTTTTAATTTTTGATTTATGAATTTTAAATCAAAGACTGCTTAATGTATTTATTCTTTAGTGTATTGATAACAATAAGATTCAATATACTTATAGGAATAACTTTTTTGTTTGTGTGTTTTCTTTTGTATTGGTCTCTGACCTTTTGGCTCAGTGAGGTGGTGGTGAGCATCTGAATTAACTCCTTAAGTTCTTTTTTATAAAGGGAAAATCAGCCCTGGCCGGTTTGGTTCAGTGGTTAGAGTGTTGGCCTGTGGACCAAAAGGTCACGGGTTCAATTCCCGGTCAAGGGCACAAACCTGGGTTGCAGGTTTGACCCCCCCCCCCAGGGGGGGGGGTCACGTGGGAGGCAGCCAATCGATGTTTCTCTTTCACATCGATGTGTCTCTCTCTTTCCCTCCCTCCCTCTATCCAAGGGGGAAAAAAAAAGAAAGAAAGAAAAGTATCGTCAGGTGAGGATTTTAAAAAAATAAAAGGGGAAAATTAATTTACAGTAAGCTCTAGGAGTTACAAAGATTGCCATTATTTTTGCTTTATAGTAGTAATTTATTTAGAAGACATTTTCATAAAATCTTATTTTAAAAAAAATTCTTAATTCATCACTTAACATAATTTACACATCTACCACCACATTTTGTTAGGTCATTGTTGTACTACCCAGTTCTCACAGATGAGGTGCTTGACTATTATAGCAATTATTATAAAAATAAAGACTGCTTAAAGACTGCTTACCTTTTAACAGTAATATTTGTTATTTTATTAATTCAAAACTCTAAAGATTTAATTTATTAATGGTTTAATCCATTAAGGCATATTTTTAAAGATATTTTGGCAATGACTAAAATTCTATAAAATATTACTGTGTTTTTATTTTCATTTAATATTTTTACCTCTGTTCGGGTTGTCTAGAAGACTAAAATTTAGCTTTATCTTTTTAATTTTTCTGATAAATGTTTATCTTATTTATTTAAATATTTATCTTCAATATTTATTTTCTTTTTAAATATTTAATATCATATAAAATAAATATTTAATATATAATATGCAAGTTTCTGTTAATTCATTGTGTAACTTTTACATAATACTTAAGAAATCATGGTGATGTGACAGTGAGTGCTGTCAGCACCCCATCTGCTTGTGAGTGAAGTTCAGGAAGATACACTCCCAAAACTTGTGCTTCCTCAAAGAAGGTAAGAAATTTATAAACACATAATTAATTTTACATTTATTATATTATTGGCCACTATTAATGACATTTGCCTCACTTCTTTTTCAGAGGAGTGATAATCAAAAGATTGATCAACAAGCTACCTGTGCTCACTTCAAGGCTGCTTCCTACAGAGAAAGCTACCTTAGATGAATATTATTAGCCTTCACATTCTGTATTAGGGTATGAATACATTGTTAAGAGATCTTTTTTCATATCTAATTTTGGAATCTTTCTCATTGTATGGTATGCAAAAAAATAAATATTAAGGATAAATTTCTAAAGTTTGATTTCTTGATGTCATTTTTATCACACTAAACCTCTTCTGTTATCAACTCTGGATCATAGTAACTGAATATAGGAATTTCCAGATAATAATGGAAATATTTTATTAGTATATCCTTCTGGTTATTTTCCTTGAAATTGCCCAGCTGGGAATAGAAGTAATTATAGTACATCTTCAAATACAGTGTTGCCATTTCAAATTTAATACAATAATATCTTTGTGGTAGATTCTCTTCAGATTGTTCATAGAAAATATTTACATTTTTATATTTAGTGAATGGCTTATTTTGTGCCAGAAACTATACTTTTCTCAAACCCACCTAGCAGAAAGAAACTCCATGAAATGAGATATTTGTCAGCTTTGTTGGCTAATGAATTCAGACTACCTACATCGTCCTAGGCACATAGCAAATACAGTCGTCCCCCGCCACTTCGCACTTCTACTTTCGCGGCTTCACTCTATTACAGTTTTTTCAAATGTATTCATTAAAAACTTGATCGAGACAGTTAAAATGATACAGTGCGCGCTCGGTTGTCTGAGTCAATTATACACCCCTATATTAAAATGACTGTATAGCCCTGGCCGGTTTGGCTCAGTGGTTAGAGCGTCGGCCTGCGGTCCTGAGAGACCCAGTTCGGTTCCGCTAAGGGCGCGTACCTCGGTTGCAGTTTGTACCCGGCTCTGGTTGGGTGGTGCGGGTGGCAGCCACTCGATGTGTTCCTTTTGCATCGATGTTTCTCTCTCTCTCTCTCTTCCTCACTCTCCCTCCCACTCTACCTGAACAAAAAATGGAAAAATGTCCTCAGGTGAGGATTAAAACAAACAAACAAAAAAAATGACTGTATATATGGACTGTAGGCCTATGTATCCAAGAACCCCAGGAAACTTTCTTTCAATGCCAGGTGCAACACTAGAGTCTGGAACAGATGAACTGCGATAAACAAGGGATGACTTACTCTTAGTTTGTTGAATAAATGCATTTAAGGAATTATTTATAACATTAACATAATGGTTCCATTTGTATACATTCTTAAGGTAATGTGTACACTATATATGTCTATATATGGTTATGTACAGAAAAGGATTCATTACCTACATAAACTGTCAACATTGCCACATCTGGGGAGCACATTGTGGTGCAGAAAAAAAGTTGGATTTTTACTTCTGTTTCATAGAGATGTGGTAATGTCAAGTTTCTCTTGCTATTGCCTGAGGATAGTAAAGCAGTGGCAGAAAGGTGTGGTGCTCTCATGGCTACCTGTATAAATGGGGAAACATTATCAGAAACTTAAGAGGGAACTTTTCTGTTTTGAACATTGTATTATAAATTCATCATTATCCCCTTTTCAGGAGTCATTCAAAAGCCACAAAAAAAAATGGTAAGCAGAAAAGCATATTCTTTCATTTAAAAAAAAAAAATTTAGACCTACAAAATAGGTATAAATGTTTCCAAAAACAATGGAGATGGAGCCAGGGGTGTATACAGGAAGGGAAACCACAAATAACTGGTTTTGCTGGCTCTTTCTGATATCTACAACTGTGATGTCTAGGTGCCTTCTTTTTTTTTTTTTTTTAATTTTTTTTTCCTTTTTATTGATTTTAGAGAGGAAGAGAGAGAGAGAGAGAAACATCGATGGGAGAGAACATCAATTGGCCACCTCCTGCAGGCCCCCAACTGGGGATCGGGCCCACAACCTGGGCATATGTCCTGATTGGGAATCGAACCAGTGACCTCTTGGTGCATGAGTCGACGCTCAACCTCTGAGCCACACCAGCCAGATGTCTAGGCGCCTTCTTAAATAGAAGACAGTCAAGGGGATCATGATCTGATAAGATATAATTCAAGGGAAAACATTAAATGAATTGAGGAAGGGCACTTAACAGTGGAAGAGTACAAATCACACTATACCAAATAACCTGTCATTTGGATATATACATATTCAAATATAATTAATCAAATAATAAACAGTATTATTTTATCTTAATGCAATATAACTGGAAACTTCGAAATCAAAAAGCCCGCACCACCTGAAAATATTTTAATATCTTAATTTTTTAATCAGCAAAATCAAGATTTCAGAGCACTATTCAGAAAATTATTTAAAAACTGTATATGAGAGCTTTTAGACTATTGCTCAAAGAAAGCTTTTTAACTTCAAATATTGAGCAAAAAAGAAAGAAAATAAGACTCCAAGAAGTCAAAGAATGAACAATCAATCCAAGGAAAACAGAAGGGATTAAGAGACAAAAATGGAAATTAATTTTATACATAAAATACGTCCAAAAGCAAGTTTTCGGGGGGGGGGGGGGAATAACAATAAGTAGTCAACCCAATAAAAAAATGAAATGTAAAAACATCTTGAAGAGATAACCACAAATACTGGAAAAAATTAAGGGAATTTTAAGATACTACTTTGTACAACTCCTATTAGATAAATTTGAAAACCTGGAGAAAATTTTTTACGAAATTATAATTTACCAAAACAAGACTTCAGAGAAAATAGGACATTTGAACAAATAGAAGTTGTTGAGAATGTTACACCATAGTTCTATTTGTGTGAGTGTGTGTGTGTGTGTTTAAAGGAGGGTTGTGTGTGTGTTTAAAGGGGTGAGGGTATTAAGAAATAGACAACTGCAGCATAGGGGATAGCCAGCTACACTTCCAGCTCTAGGTCGACCAGTTATGATAATCTGAATTTTTCACTGTTTGCTACCATTATTACACCCACCACTATGGGCTATTTCACTTTTGTTTGCTGTGAATTTGCATCAGTTTTATTTTGTTGCTTGGTATATCATGGTGTTTTAAGTTGATTAGTAAATTGGAACATTAAGTTGTTTTAAGTTGATTAGTAAACAATTGTTTGTGCTTTTACTCATCTTCTAAACCTTTTTAAAAAGAAAAGCATGATTTAGACCTGGAGTTAAATGTGAGTAAGACACAGTCTCTGCCCCCAGGGAGCTGAGGCTACAGAGTTAAGATACATACACACATAATGTGGTACCATGGGATAAGTATTGCTGCCCATACAGAGTGTAGAGGAAACTGTTGCAGTACTCAGTATTGCAAAGTAATAAGAGCTGAAATTAAGGCACTTGCAGGGGGGATTGAGAGATGATAGTGGGTTTAAAGACATTTTAGATCCCTGGCTGGTTTGGCTTAGTGATTAGAGCATCAGCCTGTGGTCCAGAGAGACCTGGGTTCGGTTCCCGCTAAGGGCATGTACCTCGATTGCAGTTTGTCCCCTGCCCTGGTTGGGTCATGTGAGAGGCAGCCACTCGATGTGTCCCTTTCACGTCGATGTTTATCTCTCTATCTGTGTGTGTGTGTGTGTCTTCCTCTCCCTCCCTCCCACTCTATCTGAACAAAAAATGGAAAAATGTCCTCGGGTGAGGATAAAAAAAAACATTTTAGAGATGGAACTCAACTTCACATAGGCCAAAATAAAAAGTTTGCCCTCTTAGCATAATTAGGTACCCATAATAAGGGGGGAACACATAAGAAAAATATTTCTATTAATATGAAATAAAAAGTTCAATCATCTGGGCCAATAGAGCATATTTAAGATAGAATTGGGAGAATAAAGCCATATATTTTGAGATCTTAACATCTAAGCAGAGGAATTTAGATTTATGCCCAGAAATAAAGAGCTATTGAACATGTTTGAGCATGGCTGACTTCTCAAGTTTGCTTTAGAGGAAGTTTATGGTGGTGGGGTTTTTTCCCCAATAAGATAGGTTACTTTTTTATTAGCAGAAACAGTATCACATTCATCCTTTTTATTGTCCAACCCTGGTAACATAGTAGTACTCAAGAAACATGGGTTGATGGAGATAAAAAGATGCTGAGCCTAAAAGAAGGAAGACCAAATCTACATATAATGAAAATCAAGACTTCGGTAAATAACTACTTTAAAAACAAAACCATCTCTTGAGAAAAGACCTTCACAAATACCCAACCCAAGGAGCTCTATGTAGTTGGCTAAAATTTGATTGGCAATCAGTGCCTGTTCATGGACTGCATGAAGTTAGTGTCAGTAGATTGAAAAGGTGAGAAGGAAAAGAAGTATTAATGGACAAGGACAATTATATAAGAGGGAGACATTCTTTCCCCTCTTTGTATCAACTCTCCATAACTTGGAAAAATCGTAACCTGTGATCCTTTTTGTTTTGTTTGTTTTTATTGTTTATTTTTCTAAGCTATTTTTCTTTCCTTGCCATGTATTCCATACAATGAATCCTGCAACTCTTCAGAATTTGCACCATCCTGGGATTGTTAACTTGGAATGTATGTTTGAAACCCCAGAACGAGTTTTTGTAGTAATGGAAAAGCTGCATGGAGATATGTTGGAAATGATTCTATCCAGTGAGAAAAGTCGACTTCCAGAACGAATTACTAAATTCATGGTGACACAGGTATTTTAACTCTTTTGAAACCAGAGAATAATTTTTTTTTTTGACAGGGTAAGATAATTGCTTAGTTTATTTTAATTTTGCTTTTATCCTGTTTTAGAAGCAGTTGTCTTTTATATTAACATTTAAAATTTTTTTTCAGTTACTGTTGACACTATTAGTTTCATGTGTACAACAAACATAGTGATTAAACATTTATGTAACTTACAAAGTGATCACCCTGATAAGTCAAGTACCCACATGACACCATACATAGTTGTTACAATATTGACTCTCTTCCCTATGCTTTATTTTTAAATGAAATATATTGGGGTGGTTAAAAACTACATAAAATAATTAAATAAGATTATATACATTTTATGTGTTTGTAATGTGGAAATTGTTAACCTTGAAGAACAGATTAATATTTTAGTTAAACCTTAATGAACTGTAGTGGACTTTTCAAATTACTGTACCATTCAATGGGTCAGATTGGGGTTTAGCTATGATTTTTCCAAGCATTGAAAAATATCTTGTTTCCTTCAATAACAGATACTTGTTGCTTTGAGGAATCTACATTTTAAGAATATTGTGCACTGTGATTTAAAGCCAGAAAATGTGCTACTCGCATCAGCAGAGCCATTTCCTCAGGTGAGATGTTCTCCAAACCTTAAGAAATATTTTAAGTATCTTGATAACATTATGAAGTACCTATGTAATGAAAGGCCATACTGTAGGTTCAAATATATAACCATTTTACAGAAATGGTTTTCAGCCTATAACTGCCGGTGAGAATTAATACCTGAATAGTTTGAATTCAGATTTTACTAATTATATTGTTTATTTTCATTAAGACTTTAGACTTAACCAGTTCTCAAGGACTACCTTCTGCATGTAGACTGCAATTCACCTCTCTCTGTGGGTTGGGGATGAAATGGGAGAGAATCAACCTTGGTAGGTGGCCGTTGCTCAGGACAAAACAAACTGAGGGGTACCCCTGACTTGGGAGATACTAGATTTTGATTATCTAGTTGGCTGGAAGCCAACTTGTATTGCTCTCTAGCATATTTCAAACATTTTCACCAAAACTTATGTAAGATCTACATTTCCCATCACCACCAGCACTTGCACACATGATAATATTGTGTGTGTCCTATGTGTGATGCACTGATTTTGTTTTACTCAGTTAAATTTTATTCCATTAAAAATGTTGATCTTTATCCAAATTTATTTCATAACATAAAAATGAATCATAACCCAGAGTTTGAAAAAAATAAATGTTGGCAGTACCTGACTGTTTTTCATGACTGTGTCATTGATGAATCCTCCAAACAGCTAGAATATCTGTTGCTGAACTATTGTTTATGTACATTTAAAACATGTACAGCTAGCCTGGCCTGTATGGCTCACTGGTTGAGCATCGACCCATGCACCAAGAGGTCACCAGTTCAGTTCCCAGTCAGGGCACATGCCCAGGGCACATGTGGGGGCATGCAGGAGGTGGCCAGTCCATGTTCTCTCTCATCGATGTTTCTCTTTCTTCCTCTCCCTCTAAAAATTAATAAAGAAAAAAAATTTTTTAAAAAGTGTAGTACAGTACTAAAATTTAAAAAAAAAACATGTCCAACTAGCTGTGGCCAGTGTGGCTCGGTTGAGCATTGTTCCATGCACCAGAAGGTTGCCAGTTCAATTGCTGGTCAGGACACATAACCAGGTTGAGGGTTTGATCCCTAGTCGGGGCACATATGTAGGCAACAGACAGATGTTTCTCACATCGATGTTTCTTTCTCCCTTTCCCTTGCTCTCTAAAATCAATAAAGATATATTTTTTAAAAACATACAACTAGACAAATGGCTAGAATAAAAACAACAGATGGCCATTTCACTTGGTAAATTGAACTAAAACTGTCTTTCAAAGAAAAAAATGTATTTAAAAAATTTATTTGTCCTGGCCAATTTGGCTCAGCAGTTAGCGCATCAGTGCTTGGACCAGAGTCACAGGTTCTATTCTGGTCACGGGCACTGTACCTCGGTTGCAGTTTGGTTCCTAGCCCTAGTTGGGGTCATGTGGGAAGCAACCAATCAGTGCTTCTCTCCCTCCCTCCCCCTCTCCCTCTCTCCCCCTCTCCCTCTCTCCCCCTCTCCCTCCCTCCCTCACTCCCTCCCTCTCTCCCCCTCTCCCTCCCTTCCTCCCTCCCCCTCTCCCTCCCTCCCTCACTCCCCCTCTCCCTCCCTCCCTCACTCCCTCCCTCCCTCCCTCCCCCTCTCCCTCTCTCCCCCTCTTCCTCCCTCTCTCCCTCCCTCCCTCCCTCTCTCCCTCTCTCCCTCTCCCCCCCACCTCTCTCCCTCCCACTCAATCTGAAGATAAATGGAAAAATATCCTTGGGTTAGGATTAAAAAAAATTATTCAACTCTTGTACTTTTAAAGAAGTAATCATATTCTTTCTTTTATGATGCCTATGTGGTTAGAAGTGATTCCTTATCATTGTGGGGTCAGAGAGGGGCCCCTAATAGTTGGTGCAATGTTTAAAATAAAGTGCTTCCATATCTTATCTCATTTGATCTTCAAAATAGTATGGGCAAAGGATGCACAGCCCTACAGCTAAGGCTAAAACTCCAGCTTTCTGACCTCAACTTTAGTGATCCCCATTGTTTTAGGAGCAAAGGAAAAATATTATCATTTACCTGATAGTTATTTTGTTTTGTTTTGTTTTGCTCAAGTGCTAGCCATGGCCACATTTCTTTATTCAGTTGCCAAACTGCCAAGTCATCTTTACTTTATCAAGATGTTAGCTAAAATATGGCATTTAAAAAATAATAAAAGAGTTCATATTTCTTCATGGTCAGTATTCCTGTTCTTCAAAGACTCAAATAGAGAAATAGCCAAATTCAATAATGACACAGAACAAATATCATCATAATAACATCTATGAGGGTCCATATCCCCAAAATAGTATCATTGGAATACACCTTCATCTTTGTTCTCCTGTCACTATTTGTATTATCGTACAGGCCAAATCCCTTTTCTCTCATTTTATATTAATGCTTTTTTCTGAAGACATGTTGTAAATAAGGACATCTCTGGAAAGTAATTGGTATTTGCTTATTCGGCATGGATGCATCCTTCATCACCAAAATCTGAACCTTTACTAGAAGATAAGCAGCAAGATAAGTGTTCTGAGCTTTTCCAAGCTTATTACACTTCCAGAACTCTCTTCCCAAATGGACATGATAGTGACTGTAGCTACCTTCAGATATAACTTTTTTCTAATCTAAACATCTAATTAGCAATAATTTGTTCCATAGGCATAGAAAATACTGTTATTCTTTCAAGCAGTCCATAGCATTACTCTTCTACTGGCCACATTAATAGTTATCTTTAATACACTTCAATTTCATTTACTTGCCAACTTATAGTATCCTTGGAAAGAGAGATTCTAGGATTAAGCAAAATAAAGAGTAAGTTTTTAAATATCTTTTTTTTTTTTCATTCAGCAAACATTTAACATTTATTAAGTACCTGTGTGTGTCCAGGCATCGTGAGGCCACTGAGGATTCAAAAAATGAAACACAGGTCTTGTTCAGATGACTGAAAAGTAATCTCCTTAAGCTCTAAATGGTAAAAGATCAGTACCCTCCATTTCATCAGAAAACTTATAACACTAGTCTGGTATTTGGCATTCTGGAAGCTAGAATCCAAGAGTGGTTTTTTGAAAGAAGCACTGTTAAGTAATGAATCACAGGTTATACATGTATTTTACAATTTCTCTGTCTACAGTCATTTGACATTCATAACCAGTACAGTTGGCAAGTATGTTAAAATGATAACACACTTAGGGAGATAATGTATGTATAATTATATAAAATGAACACCATCCTTTGAATTCCAGGTGAAGCTGTGTGACTTCGGTTTTGCACGCATCATTGGTGAAAAGTCATTCAGGAGGTCTGTGGTAGGAACTCCAGCATACTTAGCCCCTGAAGTTCTCAGAAGCAAAGGTTACAACCGGTCTCTAGATATGTGGTCCGTGGGAGTTATTGTCTATGTGAGCCTCAGTGGCACGTTTCCTTTCAATGAAGATGAAGATATAAATGACCAAATCCAAAATGCTGCATTTATGTACCCACCAAATCCATGGAAAGAAATTTCTAGTGAAGGTAAAAAAAAGTTTTTAGCTCTGTACCTTTTAGTCTAAAAATCTTTGTGATCCACTATCAGCCTTTTTTTACTTCTTTTTTTATATCTCCTATTCATCTTCCAAAATCAGTTACTTACCAATTTTTTAGTATTCGTCCTTATAGTTCCCAGGTATAGCACTTATCCGGGCCCCAGCTGGCTCATTTTGAAACTACTAAAATCTCTGTCCTTTCCAGTCAGCACTGGCAATGCGTCTTCAGGAGACACTACTTTCACTTTGAAAGCTTACTTCCAGCTTCATCTCCCAATACTTCCCTCTACAGACCTGGTTGTGTCCTCTCTTGTGAACTATGTTCTGTATTTGCTGAGGCCTTTCCCCTTCCTACAGTCCCTCCTTTCACTTGTAATCCTGCTAATTCAAGGACCCCTTAATTGTGGCTCATCTACCAGGTTCTTCCCTGAACCCCTCCTCTAACCTGTATAAGATCTACTTTGGCTACTAGTTGGCCATATCTTTCCTTAAGACTTCTATCTTTTTATAATCACTTTTGTTACCTTCAGAACTAGATTGTAAGCTCCTTGAAAGGAGACCTGTGGCTTATGTTCTTTATATCTAGAATGAGCTTTATAGTCAATAGACACTCTCCAATTTGTTTTCAGCTGTGGACCCCTACTGGAAAGCTTTAACCATTTATTTTTCCTGCTTGGTGAAGGCTCTTGAGTTTGCTGCTTTTCCTGGTTGTGTCCTGCAAGAATGACTTGGTTGGCCTTTACCCTAATCCTAATTGATACCCAAACTCTAACCTTAAAGCTAAGTTTAACCATAACCCTAACCAAAAATAAAAAAGCTATTGAGTATGTAAATGTTGGTAGTAAGTTATCACCTCAATCTAACCATGGAGGCAAGGTAATGGCTTTGGCAACTTTCTAGACCAAGCCAGGGACTAGAAAGCAGTATGTGGTCATGGGGGAGGGGAGGGTGTCAGTCTGTTTTATTCATCTTGAAATAAGTTAATACTTAGCACTGTGCTAAGCACCATTCTCAGCCCTTCACACATATTAAGGGAATGCCATCTTCTCAACCACCTTATTTTACAGATGAAGAAACTAAAGCAGAGTGTAATTAAGTAACTGACTCCATATCAGAGCAGGTGGAAGAATGACTTCAGCTCAGCTGGACAGGTTCCAGAGGCTAAAGTTTTTTTCTGAGTATTTTTCTTAGTTATTTGGGTTACAGTGGTTAATAAAATTTGTTTTCAAGTGTGCAGTTCTATAATACCTATAAATTGTATTGTGAGTTCACCATTCAAAGTTAAGTCTCCTTCCATCACTACTTATTCCCCCCTTTACCTTTATAGCTGCCCCCACCCCTTTCCCTCGGGTAATCATCACACTGTTGTCTGAGTTGTTTTTGCTTAATACCTTCACCTATTTCACCCAGCGGCCTCCCTTCTGATAGCTGTCTGTTCTCTGTATCTGAGTCTATTTCTATTTTATTTTGTTCATTAGATTTCACATATAAGTGAAATCATATGGTACATCTTTCTCTGACTGGCTTGTTCACTTAGCATAATACCCTCTAGGTCAGTGGTTCTCAACCTTCCTAATGCTGCAACCTTTAATACAGTTCCTCATGTTGTATGTGGCTTATCTGCATATAGTCATGAACTGCTAGAACTGCTGCTCTAGGTCCATCTAGGGTGTCACAAAAGATAGATTTCCTTCTTTTTTATAGCCAAGTAGTATTCCATTGCGCAAATGTACCACAGTTTAACGCTGCAATGAACATCAGGCATTCTCATATATTCTTTGGAGTCAGTGTTTCGGGTTTCTTTGGATATATTTCCAGATGTGAATTGCTAGGTCATAAAGCAGTCGCATTTTTAATTTTTTGAGGAACCTCCATACTGTTTTCCACAGTAGCTATACCAGTCTACATTCCCAACAGTGCATAAGGGTTCCCTTTTCTCCACATCCTCACCAACACTTGTGATTGGTGGATTTATTAGTGATAAGCATTCTTTTTTTTTTTTTCCACATCTTTATTGTTGGATGTAAAATGTATTACAGATGTTCCACATTTTTCCCCCATTGACCCCCTCCTCCCCACTCCCACCCCCTCCCACCTTTTCCCAAACTATTGTCCGTGTCCATTGGTTATGCATATAAGTTCTTTGGTTTATCTCTTCCCACCCCCCCCAACCCCTTTCCCTTTGAGGTTTGTCAGTCTAGCAATGAATTTGTGCTTCTTAATCCCTTCACCTTTTTCACCCATTCCCCCAAACCCCCTTCCCAACTGGCAACCAACAAAATGTTCTCTGTATCTATGAGAATGTTCCTGTTCTTCCTGTTCATTTTGTTTGTAGATTCCATTGTTGATATGTATTCATTGCCATTTTGTTTGTTCATACATTTTATCTTTTTCTTTAAAAAGACCCTTCATCATTTCATATAATAACAGTTTGGTAGCGATGAACTCCTTTAACTTTTTCTTGTCTGGGAAAGTTTTTATATGTCCATCGATTCTAAATGACAGCTTTGCAGGATACAGTAATTTTGGTTGTAGGTTTTTGCTTTTCATCACTCTGAATATTTCTTGCCACTCCCTTCTGGCCTGCAAAGTTTCTTTTGAGAAATCAGCTGACAGCCTAATGGGAACTCCCTTATAGGTAACTAGCTGCCTTTCTCTTGCTGCTTTTAAGATTCTCTCTGTCTTGAACCTTTTGCATTTTGATGATGATGTGTCTTGGTGTGGGCCTCTTGGGGTTCATCTTGTTTGGGACTCTCTGTGCTTCCTGGACTTGTATGTCTGTTTCCTTCACCAAGTTAGGAAAGTTTTCTGCCATTATTGTTTCAAACAGGTTTTCGATTTCTTGTTCTCTCTCTTCTCCTTGGGGCACCCCCAAGATGCGAATGTTGGCACGCTTGAGGTTGTCCCAGAGGCTCCTTACACTATCCTCATTTTTTTGGATTCTTTTTTCTTTTTGCTGTTCTGATTGGGCGTTTTTTGCTTCCTTATATTCCAAATCGATGGTTTGCTCCTTGGATTTACGTACTCTATTATTGAAGCTGTGTAAATTATTCTTTATTTCAGTTAAAGCCTCCTTCGTTTCTAACTGTGCATCGATCATTTCTGACTGGTCCTTTTTTATGCTCTTGAGGCCCTCACTGAGTTCACTGAGCATCCTTATAAGCAGTATTTTGAACTCAGCATCTGTTAGGTTGCTTATCTCCATTTCACTTAGTTCTTTTCTTGGGGTTTTGTTCTGTTCTTTCATTTGGGACCTGTTTCTTTGTCTCATTTTGGCTGCCTCCCTGTGTTTGTTTCTGTGTATTACTTAATGAGAGGTATGGGGGCTCGGTGAGACCCGATGCTGCTCGTTTGAAAGAATTTAGGAAAAACCTGAAGCAGGATCCAAGACAGGCCAATCCTATGGTTAAGCAAGTGGCAACAGCTTGGGTGGGCCTGAAAGTTGGGTGGGGCGGGGCAGGGCAGGGCCTCAGGGAGTCAGCAAGGCGGGGCTACCAGTGTGAGCCAGGTTGCTGGAGGCCCAGATATGGCGGCTGTCTGCCGCCCCAGGGAAGGGCTCACCAAAGGAACAAAGGCCTCTTACAGCACATTTGTCCCCGAGGAAGCCCCCTCTCCAGCCCTCGCTCCAGTGCCAAACAGCTCAGTTCTTCCCTGTATGTCTCTGGTGCCCCTCGAGCTGCCTCCCCTCCGAGCTTAGAGGGAGAGAGTCCAATAAGTCCGTGCGCGGGCCCTTTAAGGAGCTGCCTGGGGCTCCAGCCGCCTCAGCTTCCCTGAACCTCAGTTCCTGCTGGTTTTTCCAGCCAGAAGTTATGGGGACTCTCTTCCTGGCACTGGAACCCTGAACGGGGCACCTGGTGTGGGACGGGGACCCCTCAGTCCTCAGGAAGGACCTTCCCAGCCGCGGGAGCCTCCTGATTTTTATCTGCCACACTTGGGTGTGGGACCAGCCCATCGCGCCGCCCCTCCTACCAGTCTGGATGTAGCTGCTTTTTTTTTAATTCTGTAGTTGTAGGACTTCCATTCAGCTTGATTTCAGGCGGTTTTGGATGATGGTTGTTCTGTAGTTTTGTTGTAACTTGGATGTGGTTGTGGGAGAGCGCGATACTGCGTTTACCTACGCCGCCATCTTGACCGGAAGTGTGTGATAAGCATTCTGACAGGTGTGAGATGATAGCCCACTGTGATTTTTTTTTTTTTTTTTTTTTTTTATCCTCACCTGAGGACATTTTTCCATTTTTTGTTCAGATAGAGCAGGAGGGAGAGAGAGGAAGAGAGAGAGAAAGAAACATCGTTGTGAAGGGACACATCGAGTGGCTGCCACCCGCACGACCAACCAGGGCCGGGGACAAACTGCAACCGAGGTACATGCCCTTAGCGGGAACCGAACCCGGGTCTCTCCGGACCGCAGGCCGATGCGCTAACCGCTGAGCCAAACCGGCCAGGGCGCCCACTGTGCTTTTAATTTTCATTTCTTTGATGATTAGTGACATTGAGCATCTTTTCGTATTTATTGATTGGCCATCTGTATGTCCTCTTTGGAGAACTTTCTGTTCTGGTCCTTTACCCATTTTTTAATTGGATTGGTTTTGTGGTGTTGAGTTATTTATAAATTTTGGATATTAACCCCTTATCAGATGTATCATTGGCGAGTATGTTCTCCTATTCAGTAGGTTGCCCTTTCATTTTGTTGGTTTCCTTTGTTGTGCAAAAACTTTTAGTTTGATGTAGTCTCATTTATATTTTTTGTTTCCCTTGCCTGAGGAGATATATCACAAAAAATATTGCTACAAGAAATGCCTAAGATTTTACTGCCTATGTTTACTTCTAGGATTTTTATAGGTTTGAGTCTTAAAGTCTTTACTTCATTTTGAGTTTATTTTTGTGTATGATGTAAGGAGGTGGTTTAGTTTCATTTTTCTGCACCTATCTGTCCAATTTTCCCAGCACCATTTATTGAATAGACTGTCTTATACCCCATTATATGTTCTTGCCTTTTTTGTCAAATAGTGACCATAAAGGCACGGGTTTATTTCTGAGCTATTTTGTTCCATTGATCTACATGCCTGTTTTTATGCCAGTACCGTGTTGTTTTATGCCAGTACCGTGTTGTTTTGAATACTTATCAGGTAGCATGATTACCTCCAACTTTGTTCTCAAGATTGCTGAGGCTAGCCCTGGCCGGTTTGGCTCAACAGTTAGAGCGTCGGCCGGCAGACCAGAGAGACCTGGGTTCAGTTCCCGCTGAGGGCATGTACCTGGGTTGCAGTTTGTCCCTGGCCCCGTTTGGGGTCGTGTGGGTGGCAACCAGTCCACGTCTTTCTCTCACATCGATCTTTCTCCCTCTCTTCCTCCCGTTCTATCTGAAGATAAATGCAAAAAAAAGTCCTCGGGTGAGGATTTAAAAAAAAAAAAAAAGATTGCTGAGGCTATTCAGGGTCTTTATGTCTCTATATAAATTTTTAGGATATTTGTTCTGTGAAATACACCACTGGTATTTTGATAGGAATCGCTTTGGGTAGTATGGACATTTTAATAATGTTAATTCTTACTATCAAAGTCTATTCTATATTGCCTCCTTAATAAAATAGACACACTGTAAATTCAGTAAACAGTTATGGATCACTAACATGTTAGTTTAAACTCTCTATTTCTATGGCCTGAACTGCCTTCCAGGCAGAATCACAGGCTTGGGGTGCTTCGTACACCCAAATTCATGTACCTAATTTTGTCTTTTCTTTAGCAATTGATTTGATAAACAACCTACTTCAAGTGAAGATGAGAAAACGTTACAGTGTGGACAAATCTCTTAGTCATCCCTGGCTGCAGGTAAAAAAAAAAAAATGTGTATCTCTCTTTGGCAATCCTCATTTGAGCAGATCATTGTGATTTCTCTTACCTAATGAAACCACTCTAAGATCAGCAGATTCTACACATCTTAGAATAATGTAAATGTTCTTTAGTGATTAATTAGTAATGTGGCTGAATCTCTGGAAGTTTTTGCAATTCAGCATTGAAGTGCAGAACTGATAGGCAGTTAAACTCCCATGAACTGAAAGCAATGAATTTGCCTTTTATAGGGCTTTATGTGTTCATTTCACTTGTTGTAAGATAAGCATGACATATTATTTTGTCAAATATTTTTTACTTTTAAAATGTCTATTGAAAGATTCATATTTGCACTGAAGAGATTGGAAATGCCATTTGAAACGGTTTGGCTTAATTCTTCCAAAAGCTATTGTATAGATTTCTAAGAAGGTACCTCCAAATTTCAGTGTAAGGAGAGAAGCCTTAGAACTATTTTAAAGGGAAAGAGGGGTAGAACTAACTTCAAAACAAATGCAATCGTAGTTACTCTCGGGATTATTAAGTTACTCTGATAATAAATTCTAACTAAGCACTCACCCTTATCTGAAGGAATAAGTTGTAGACCTCTCGTAGTATAAAACAAAATATTTTAGTGGTTGTTATTAGTCACCTCAGAAACCTAAGACAATTTAGTTTGAAAAAGCATTTATCTTTAACATTGCTAATTTAAAATATTACAAGTGGAACTTACTTTATAGCAAGCACTTGTGAGTAGGGATTTGTCATTTATATGACTAGGGTGCTAAGCAGAAAAAAAAAAAAGCTTGACAAGATTTTGTTTCTTTTATGGTTCATAGTCACTTCATTTTTCTCTAGGACTATCAGACTTGGCTTGACCTTAGAGAATTTGAAACTCGCATTGGAGAACGTTACATTACGCACGAAAGCGATGATGCCCGCTGGGAAATACATGCATACACACACAACCTTGTATACCCAAAGCACTTCATCATGGCTCCCAATCCAGATGACATGGAGGAAGATCCTTAATTTATCAATGAGCTAACTTCAATAAGGAAGGATTTCATTTTATGGACTGATATTTTGCTGCACAACTGTTGTTCTTTGGAGGTTGTCGTCTGCAAGGATGCAAAGACATGAGGAAATGTGATAAGGAACTGGTGACACCAGTACTGTAGTTCATAATGAGTAGGTACAAGAGGGGAAACTGAGAGATAAAAATTCATAATGGAACCAAGATGAAGCTTTTCATAAATTTTTATAGCATAAGAAATAACTGGCTTTTGTATTTTCCTAATCCTTCACTTTAGTACAATAGTGGCACTTAATTTGTCTTCCCTTTCCTGTTCTTATATTATTTTCCAAAAAGGCAAGCCAGAATCCTGTTATTACATGGCTTGACCAAAGCATACAAGAGTTAAAAGGTTGATTACTAAACTTGTTTGCATTTAAACAGAGATCAGAGAGGCTGCTGGCATGTGATTTCCTATAAGACTTTAAACATTTATCTGACCATAGAGGGATTGAGGGGTTTTTCAGATACCTAAAAAAGGAATGCTGGACTGTTTTACCTTTCTTTTTTAGGTCAGTCAAGACTCCAAAACAGTGATCCCTAACCTTTTTGGAGTTGAATCCCTGAATATGCTCTCTACAACATAAAAATTAAGTTGTCACCTTTTGTGAGTATGTTACAATAGCCTGTAAGATAACTTTGGACAACTGACTTTACAAAACCAGGAGTAGGAACTGCTGCTGATCTGCATGCTGAATTACTATGGATGTCTTCTAGTTCAACTCTGCTGCAAACTGACGTTCCTACTGACGCTGCTGTGACGCCACAGTTAGATTCCAGCATTCAATGGGTATAGACCAAAGCTATAATTACAGATTATCTTTACACAGGGTTGAATAATTTGAGGGAGGAAATTAAATATATACTAAAAGTAAGGCCAGTGCAGGGTCAGTTAAAACTATAGGAAAGAATAGCAAATAGTATCCTTTTTTTTTTTCTTCCCTTAGATTATTGGAAGGCTTTACAGAAGTCTGGAATGTTTTTAAATCATTTATTTTAAGCAGTATGGGTTGAGCATGAAACAATTATAAGGGTAGGGCTATATTATCAGCAGAGCAAATGAAAGGAAACTTTTTTAAAAAAACATTTCAGCTCAAGCAGCCAGCTGAAGAAATTTTTCTCTACTCAGATATGTGATTTAAGAGGTTAGACTTTTTCATAGCTTTTAAAAGGTTACTAATAATAGTTTTCCCAAAAAAAAGTTTAATATCTGGGACTTATAAAATCTAATGGCTTTTTATTTATTCATTCCTCAGTAATCATTTTACACACACCCCACCGCACCCCCAAAAGAGCAAAAGATTTGGAATCAGAAGATCTGGGTTTAAGTGTTGGCTCCCTTTATTAGCTCTGTGGGCCTGGCCAGGTGACAATCTGAGCCTCGAGTTGCCTAGTGTGTAAAATGAAGATCATAATCCTTGCCTCTACCTTCCTCACAGTGTTGTTTTGAAGATCGGTTGTATATGAACATAATCAATAAACTAAATACAAAATGTGTTAACTGTCACTGCCCAGTGAATTGGAGGTAGCAAAGGAAAAGACTGTTCATATATTAACTAAGACTCAGAGAGCCTTTGGAGATCTCTGAAGCTACTCCCTTACCTAGGACTAAAAACATCCTTGAGAGAGTAGTAGCAAACATGAAATGTTCTATTCTGAGCTCTTCAGATGTTAACTTATCCTCACAACCATTAGCTAAGTGCATAATGAACCCCATCTCACAGATAAGGAAATTGAGACACAGGAAGATTAAATAGCTGCTGGTCACACAGTTGGTATTTGAACCCAGACAGTGTTGGCTCTGGAGTTCCTCTTACCCTTCTAACCATTTTGTTATACTGTCTTCCCCATAAAGGTCTCAGGAGACATTCCACATCTCTCATCATTTCATTCTCATTTACAAGTTTTAAAAATCAAATTTAATTCTGCAAAACCTTTTAGAAATGTTTTCCCTAGGATAGAAAATGACTTCCTCAAATTTCTCCATAGTAAGTCTGCTTAATCAGTGTGCTAAAATGGAATAATTCTGAGTCAATAGGCATCCTATTGAGGTTTTACTACATAAGGTGAAAATTAACTGGAATGGTGTTTGTTTGCTATACTTACATAATCAAACGTTATAAGCCATGAAATTAATTGCACTCTTTTTGTTTTTGTTGTTGAATGCCTAAGAAGTTTTCTAAATTTGTAAAGGCACTGTCAGATAATTTGAAGTTGAGTAATTACACCTGATACTGTGTAACCTGCATAACCTTTTTTTATTTTTTGTCAAGCTGTGTTTGTATAAGAAATAATTGAAAGAAACATTTGATAATGTACAAAGTAGTCTATAATGACATTGTTCAGTACATTTTTATATTTTTTGTTACATCCCACTTTTTGTAAATATCCTCAAAGAAGCTTAATAAATAAAATGTATTTCCATATCACCATACTTTTCTATGTGAAAACCTGAGCCTATCTCTAGTCGAGGTATTCAAAGAAAATTTTACTTGGTTGTGTTATTTTCCCAGGCCTTGGTAAGAGAACTATTTTGGAAATAGTATTTGTAAATGGAAATAATGCTATATTTATAACAGTGATTTTTTTTAACTGCCTAAAATAAAAAATAACTCATTATTACAATTTTATATGCAATTTGAGGTTATTATCTGGAGGTCTCATTTCTTGGAATTAAAGTTTGGAATAATTATAACTATAAATTTTTCAGGAACTGCCATCATACAATCCACTACTACAGCTGCCAGAAGACTTAAGTTAAATACCTAATACAAAGTAAATATAAGGCATTGCCTAACTCTTCCCCCTTAATTATAAAAAGTATTATATAATTTGGAGGAGCCAACCATGGGCATTTTCATCTTGCAAAAAATGGTCCCAAACAAGAGTTTTGGGAAAAAAAATATGGAAATAGAAAAGTGGTGGCTAGGAATGGCCCAACGCTGGACAGCATCTGAAAAATAAGGCCTCCATCTTCATTTACCTTAAACTGGCACAGAACACTAGTCCTGTTCTCAAGCCAAAGAAGCAATAAAAAGCAGCAGTTCATCACTTTGCCAATGAACTCCCAATATAGTTATACTGTAAGTTCAAGACACATGGCTAATTTCTTTTCCTTTAATCTCACTTGTAAATTTATTCTGCTAAAATAGCAATTCTTCAGAAAGTCCTTCTGTCTGGTATTAATATAAAAGTTTCAAGAATCAAAACATGAGAACTTAATAAAACTACACTTGACATAGCAACTAGCTTTATTTAGTAAAGGAAACTCAAGTTTCACAATAACTTATTTCATACATAAGAACACACATTTGGCCTGGCAGGTTTGGCTCAGCAGTTAGAGAGCGTCAGCCCAGGGACCGAAGGGTCGCAGGTTGGATCCCCAACCCTGGTCAGGGTTGTGCTGGAGGCGGCCAATTGATGTGTCTCTCTCACATTGATGTTTCTCTCTTTCCCTTCCTCCCGATCTAAAAAAAAAAAAAAAAAATCAATGGAAAAATATCCTCCAGTGAGATTTAACAAAAAAAGAACACCTTTGTTCCCAGAGTTAAACACAACTTTAAAAGATCAATGTTTAGTTGTATGGTATTTTATTATCTGTTAAGAAATACTTTTTTTACCTGTGATACATGAAATGCATTCCTTTATTTCGGTTTCTTAGGCAGACTTGGGGGTAAAAAGTCCAAACTGAAATATCACTGCCAAGCAAGTTCACTAAATCCAGCCACAGGTGATGGAGAAGGTTCTGACTGACGCGCATTCATCTGATGACTTCTACCATGAAGTCTCTCTTGAGGCAGTAAGGCAAAAAAGTTAAATCTTTCTCCCATCTTCTTAGGATTCATTAACATATCATACCCCTGAAGTAACTGCTGCCTCAATGATGGCTCAGCTGATTTATCTAAAAGAACCTGAAAAGAAAAAAAATTTCTTAGTAAAAGTAACCAGAAGAAAGGATTTCCAGTTATATGAAGCAATACTAATGACTATTAGCTATTCATTAAAGCAGTGTTTAAAATGTTATTTCCAGTCACCTGCCTTAAAACCAATCATGGGGTACTTATTTAAAAACACAGGTTGCTGTGACACAAACCTATGAATCTGTATATTTAACATTTCCAGGTGCTCTGATCTATACTGAAGGTTTAAAATGTCCTCAGAAAAGTTATAAAATGTATACCCACAACTGCGGTCAAACTTTCTTAATAAACATGAACACTACTTGAAAATCTGAATTCCACCCCATAAGATGCATGAAACTTAATGTTGTTCCACCTCCAGGCTATCTGGTAAAACTAAATCCTACACTACTGGAGAGAATGGAACTCTAGGGTTCTGGCTAACTACAAGAACATTAAGGCCAGGTAAACTTATTACAATATTTGTTAGAAATATTGTGAAATTAAAATATTTAATGATACGGAAATAAATCATTACCTTTAGCCGGACATCAATGCCCATATTTTTTAAAAATGTTTGTTGTTTTATTGGGCCCAGAGAAGCCACTCTTCCCTGTGCCATTCTGCGCAAATAACTGAAGTCCACATCAGCTGTTAGGTCGGCTGTTCCTGGGGCAATTAAGACATCATGAAGCTTGTGGCCACAAAACCCCTTAAACATAATTTTTAAAATGATGAGTTTTTGTCCTTTTATGCTATTATCAAGGTTAAAGAGGCGCTATGATTTTAGTACATTTTATATAACTTAAAAAGGAAAATATAGCCCTGGCCAGTTTGGCTCAGCGGTTAGAGCGTCGGCCTGCGGTCCAGAGAGACCCAGGTTCGGTTCCCGCTAAGGGCGCGTACCTCGGTTGCAGTTTGTCTCCGGCCCTGGTCAGTTGTGCGGGTGGCAGCCACTCGATGTGTTCCTTTTGCATCGATGTTTCTCTCTCTCTCTCTCTCTCTTCCTCTCTCTCCCTCCCACTCTACCTGAACAAAAGGTGGAAAAATGTCCTCGGGTGAGGATAAAAAAAAAGGAAAATATAGCCTAAGTCAGGGGTTTACAAATTGAATGCAGTAGCACCATTTTCTTCAAATGAGAAGCTCCGTGGAAAACCCAATATAAAGTACTGTGTTGGAGCGCCTGAAGATGCTGCTGCCTTTACAGTTATTTAACATTTTCATTAATGCCTGTGCATAGAGGAGATCTCAATAATCTTCCAATTGAATCCAGGTGATCAAAACCTAGATGGTGTTTTACAAAGTCTAACCATCAAACATAGGCATCAGAATCACCTGAGAATACGTCACTAGACTCTTACCCAGTCCTAGTAAATCAGAATCCTGGAGGTAAAAATAGAAAATCAGCATTTTTTATTCTTACTTTTTTTAGAGAGAGAGAGAGAAAAACATCAAGGTGAGAGAGACACATCGATCAATCGGTTGCATCCTGCATGCCCTCTACTGGGGATTGAGCCTGCAACTTGGGCATGTGCCCTGATCAGGAATAAAACCAGGACCTCTCAGTCCATGGAATGACGCTCAATTTACTGAGCCACACTGGCCAGGTGGAAATCACCATTTCTGACACACTATCCAGGTTTTTCTTAGGTACATAAAGTTAGAAATTGAGAACCACAGGTCTAGAACATAACTAGTAACACCCAGTTAAATGTATTTCAATTAAAGTAAACTGAACAGAATTGATCATATTCAAAGAACTTAAGAACAGATGTTTAGGAAGGATAAAAAATATATCTAGAGAAGAAAAAAGGTGTTGAAAATCTGATAGAAAAAGTTTGAATGATTATAGTAGCTAGATCAAATCTGCAAAGAAGTATCAAAAATTTTTTTAAATGAAGGAGGGGTAGAAAATCTTAAAAACTTTAGGAAAAATTTTCCATTTGTATTATTTAGATGCTTACTAGAATCAATGCAGAACTAGGTTCTGCAACTTAAGGAAGAATGTAGACAATTCAGACACTGTTCAAAGGAAAGTTGGAGAGTGGAGTTAGGCTTAGGAATAAGATCTAGAGTTAAGAGTAATTATTATTAATATTAATTATAAAATAATGTAATACAACAGTGCTAAACACTATAGAAACCAAAGATAAAGATCTTAAATGAGCTTCAAAACTAACAACTGATAACTAAGTAAATCATACCACTTAAACTCTGATTGAGTCATGTTACTGAATTATACATACTCTGAAGGTATCTGTCTTAGTCCCATCATGACCATAATCAGCAATCAGCGCAGCACCTCCAGTAAGTGCAATGCGTTGAGCAAGTTCCTGAATAATAACACCAGCCTCAGGACAGACTTCCACGTGATCCCTTGTTTCATCATGCTAGTAAGAAACAGTTGAAAGAAAACATATCATTCTAAAGAACTATTTCCTTAGGGTTTGTCAGGTTTCCTTTATTTTCAGGTTTTTCTACAATGAGCATTTCTTATTTACAATAAAAATTAATTTGTTTTCAATATGAATATGTTCTCTACACTCAACTTTTCACATAATATCCTTTTTATTATACAAAACTTCTTGGTTCTTTGATGCTATCCACTAAGTTTACAAAAACATTTCAATTTTAATACTTTTTGATTAAAGGCATGACCTCCCAACCCCTCAGGTGGCCAAGTACATTATCATGTTAGTGATGGTGCTATTACTTTTATATCATAATTCATGTAACTATATTCCACTTGGTTGAAAGCATGGGAAAGGGATTTTTATCTGCTTAAAAGAGAGCGTGCCACATAATAGGCACTCAAAAAATTGTGTTGATTGAACAAATGATGTAATCTGATGAAAAAAACAAACATCGTATTAAACAAGTATTTTATGGTGCCTTCTGTTGGGGCTAAAGGCATCCTAACGATATGCTCTATATCTAGAAACATCAGTTTATGAACTAGTGCCAATGTACACAAGGCCTTTATTTCCCAAGATGTGACGTATTAACTAATAACTCAATAAATGTATATTAGGTTATAAAGTGAAATGATAATATTAATACTTGTCAACTTGACTAGTATATATGAGATTTCACTAAGTCCTGAGATAATGCAAAATTTATTTTTCTTCATTAGTAAAACATACACTAACTCTTGCCACCTCCATACACCCTATTAAGAATGAGTATTGACCTGCCCTGGTGTCTCTGCCTATAATGGCATAGGTCTAACAGGTACAAAGCCAGACAAACTCAGCTTCTGAGTCTCAGCTCTTCCTACTGCTTACTAGAAACAAGTTACTTAACCTTTTGGAGCCGCTTCATTACATAGGTACTAGGCTTTTTGAGAGGATTAAGTGTATCAATAAACCACTTAGCCCTCAGTGCTACTTTATTTCTTTTGCTCTGTTCTTTTTTCTTGTTTATTTAGGTTTTTGTTTTGCTTCGTTTTGCCCTCGGTGCTATTAAGTAAGTTATTGTGGCTTAATTCTGAAAACCATGAGGTCAGCTATTTCAGGCATAAGCTGACACATCTCAGTGTGCCACGCCGACACCCTTACCACCTTAGCCTGCTCTTCAAGATGACAAATTCTGTTACCTTTCGCCCCATTCAAATGATGGAGAAAATCACTCCCTCTCTCATAAGTGAATACTGCTCAAGTCAAGAACTAAAAAGAATCATAACTCCTAGGGCCAAGGGCTTGGCTCTTGGTAGCTTTATGAATTTATTTCTAACTCAGGTAAAATTAAGTAGCCAGAATATGAAAAACTAAAAATGTTCACAAGCGTTTAGGCTGATATTTTCACTTATGCTTTGCAAAGAAAATTCAAGAGAAAACAATAGTAAAATGCATTCTGTCAGTCTAGAATCAAATTTAGAGCTGGTGGAAGCAGAGAAAAAAGGTAGCCTCTACCTAGCCATAGAGCTGTTTCAGAACTGAGAAAATACAGAGTAATACATGCAAAGTACTCAGTAAACACTGTCATTGTCACTGTACTATACACTGTACTACATTGTTTTCTCAGACATCAAACCTTTCCAGTCAAAAGACAATACTATCAACATCTGATAGGTCAACAGAGAAGGTATGGGACTTGCTGAGCAAGTGCTTATTACTAACTTTATCTCTTGTAAGGTCACACAGCTAAGAAGTTATTTTAACCCACTCTTCTGACTCTCTAGAGCCTCTGCACAGTTCACAGTTAATAAAAAGCACCTCATACATTGCGAGCAACTCCTTCCCCCTATAAAAGAACTCTAAAACAGTAACTCAGAAAATAAGACTTGCTTGGTAATAAATGAAGAAGAAAAAATGTATTCCTACTTGTATAAAGACTTCCGCTGGGGTGGCACAAGGCGCCAAAACAAACCTCAGTTTATCAGAAACTTGCGGATCAATATCAATGAATACTTCTCTCCATCCTTGTGGGGTTTTCTAAACACAAATGAATGCACAGAAACAAAATTTTGCAAGTTCTCAAAACTGTTGCTAGCAAAAAGTACTATTGGTTTTCTCTTACCATGTTTAAGATAGAAGTAACATATACAGATCACTTTACTGCTTAACATTATTATTTAAAGGCTTTACTTCATTTCTTCTACAGAACAGGAGTAGACTGACAGATACAAACTACTAATGTTGTTTACATAAGAGGTGGAGCTGTGCAAGACAAAATAAGCAGCATAGAAAGTGTCCCAAAATGGAAAACTAATCGAAAGCTTTTGCTAATAAATTACTCCACAATAATACATACTCTTAGCCTTAGAAGTTATTAGTACACATACATTACCACCAAATCTCAGATTTCATAGAAAGAATAAAGACAAATTTTAATCTTTGGAATTTAAATATATTTGCTAAAAAGTAATTTTTATTGTACTATAGCCATTTACCATCTTATATTCTCCTGTATCTTTATCTCAGGAGAATTAAGAATTCTACTGAATATTTCATTTTTGCTTTTTAATCACTTATATGCATGAGAAATTCCAAATATAGTTAACTTCAATAAGTAGTGTTTATATGTTGAATAATTAAATACCATAAATATTTATTCTTACAACACAAGGCTCTTTGTGATTCAATTATAAACATGACTTTCTTTCCATCATACCTGAAACTTATGCACAGGAAGAACGTCAAAAAATTCATGTGCAAGATAAAAGCTGTACCCTATTTAAAAATGGAAAGAAAAAATTAATTTTAAGCATTTTTTAAGCTAATGAATTGGTACTTCTGAACATTTACAAAAATGCCTAGCTCTTTGTAGTGGAACCTGTGGTGCTTCCATAATCGTCACTACCACAGAATCATCACCTCTTCGCAGCAAATCTACTCTGCAGAAAGTACAGAGGCAATTACTACTATTCTCATTTTCCACATAGCAGGATAACAAAGCCAAAATATCTCATACTCATTACCAGGCCTCAAAGAAATGAGAACTCAGGTTTGCTAGCTGAACGAGAACTTGAGTTTCCTAAAATCATCAGAGGCCAGGAGTGGCTGGGGTGCCTTGTGCAAGCTCAGACCACTTGAGGTTTGAGCTGGAACTCGTCAATGTAAGGCTCCTGAGGAGTGCAGACATTTTCCTGCACTACATTCTTGCCTTCAGGCAAGTAAGGACATTCAAAAGATGAGATAATTAAACTAAACCCACCTAACACTGCTTCCTCCAGCCGCTGCTGCCTTGGCGCTGCTTCATCAGCAGTACTATCTTAGGGATAAAGAAAAACTAAAAAGTACAAAAGAGATATACATTGTGGATTTTGTTTGCTTTGGTTTTTGCAAAACCACATGAAATTCATTGTTCCTTACTGTTAGGCAATTTTGTACTCTAATACAATGTATTTTAATAGAAAAAAGTTCACTATTCTTATAAGGAACTTGGCAGCACTAACTCAATCTATTTTAGATACTTCTCAACTTATGTTGGGGTTACCCCCTGATAAACCTTAAGTCAAAAATGCATTTAGGCCCTGGCCGGTTTTGCTTAGCGGTTAGAGCATTGGCCTGCGGTCCAGAGAGACCCGGGTTTGGTTCCCGCTAAGTGCACGTACCTCAGTTGCAGTTTGTCCCCGGTCCTGTTTGGGTTGTGCAGGTAGCAACCACTCGATGTGTCCCTTTCCCGTCGATGTTTCTCTCTCTCTCTCCCTCTCCACTCTATCTGAACAAAAAATGAAAAAATGTCCTCGGGTGAGGATAGGGAAAAAATAAATAAAATGCATTTAGCCCCAGCCAGGTGGCTCAGTTGATTGAGGCATCGTCCTGTACACCAAAAGGTTGTGGGTTCAATTCCTGGTCAGGGCACAAACCAAGGTTGCAGGTTTGATCCCAAGTCTGGGTATATGCAGGAGGTAGCTGTTAGATGCTTCTTTCTCACATTAATGATTCTCTCTTTCTCCCCCTTTTCCTCTCTCCCATCCAAGTATTAACCAGGCCCAACCCTGCTTAGCTTCCGAGATCAGACGAGATCGGGCGCGTTCAGGGTGGTATAGCTGTAGACCCCTGTTCCTCTCTCTATAAAATCAATGAAGCATATCCTTGGGTGAGGATTAATAAAAAAATAAAAAATTAAAAATTAAAATGCATTTAATACACCTAACCTACCAAGCATCGCAGCTTAGCCCCGCCCACCTTAAACACGCTCAGAACATTCACATTAGCCTACAGTGGGCACAGCATCTCGCTGCTGCTTCCCAGCCTGAGAGTGATGGTGCGGCACAGTTAGTCCGGAAAAGATGCAAATTCAAAACCTGAAGTACAGTTTTTACTGAATGCATACCACTTTTCACCATGATAAAGTTGAAAAATTGAACCATCGTTAAGTTGGGAAAGTCTGTATATTGCCCTACAAGGCCGTAGTCACCTATCACTAGTGTGAGGGGTTGTGATCAAAATTCTCTCATTAATCAATGTAAAATCATTACCTTTTGGAACATCCTGCAGATCTCGGTACCAGGAAACTGGAATCCCGGACTTAGTAATGCCTTTCATATACACTGGGGATCCAGCACTTCGTTCTAATGGGAACTTCTCTTCGGTCAGAGTTAGTGCTTGAATCTCACTTAATTTTTGGCTCACCTCTACCAGATGTATTGACATGTCACAGTTTTTCAGCACAGATCCAAGCTGACTAAACACCTAAGTACAAAAAGAAAAATTGGCAAATATGTGTTGAGTATATTTTAGGTTTTCTAACCATTGATCTTAATAATCTATTCGTCACAGTACAAATAATAACTGGTTCCAGAGAAATTTTTCCTTACACAAGCCACTCTCTAGCAGCCTATACGAAGCATAACCTAATTAGAGTTATTAAACATAGTTCACATAAAAAAGAATAGTACACAGTTTGGTTTCCTAATGATAAAATTTAGAACTGTGATTAAGAAATGAAAATAAAAGATTTCCCCATCCTCACCAACACTTGGTGTTGTCAGAGTTGTCAGACTTCCTATTTTTGAGGGTATAGTAGTATCTCATCAATTTTTGTTTTTAATCTCACCTGAGGATATGTTTATTGATTTTAGAGAAAGGGAGGTAGAAGAAGAGGGAGGAAGAGGGAAGGAGGGAGGGAGAGAGAGAGATAGGGGGAGGGGGGGAGAGAGAGAGAGAGAGACAGAGAGAGAAACATTGATGGTTGCTTCCCGTATGCACCCTCAATGAGGACAGAAGTGGCAACCTAGGTGTGCCCTGACTGGGAATAGAACCTGAGACCTTATATGTACGGGACAACGCTCCGACCATCTGAGCTACACTGACTAGGGAAGTCTCATCAATTTTAATTTTCATTTTCCTGACTACCAATTACTCTGAACATATTTTTGTTTTTATTGGCCATTTAGGTTCTCTGTTTCATGATGGGCCTGTTCACATATTTGCCTGGTTTTTCTAATGAGTTATCTGTCACATTACTGACTTAAAGGACTACTAGTTCTTTGTTGGTTATATGTGTTGCAAATAACTTCTCAAAATTGGGGTTTTGTCTCACCTACTTTTTTTTTTTCATCCTCACCCAAGGACATTTTTCCATGTTTTGTTCAGATAGAGTGGGAGGGAAAGAGAGGAAGAGAGAGAGAGAGAGAGAGAGAGAGAGAGAGAGAGAGAGAGAGAGCGCGCGAAACATCAACGTGAAAGGGACACATCGAGTGGCTGCACCCACACAATCCAGGGCTGGGGACAAATTGCAACCGAGATTCGTGCCCTTAGCGGGAACCGAACCCGGGTCTCTCTGGACCGCAGGTTGACGCTCCAACTGGTGAGCCAAACAGGCCAGGTCTGTCTCAGCCACTCTTTATGGTGTCTTTGAAGAACAAAAACTTCCTAGTTTCTTTAAAGAATAAGAAGTTCTTAATTTTAATGTAGAGGAAATTATCAACATTTTCCTTTATGGCTTCTGCTTTATATATAATTTTAAAATTTTTTACCTACTCAGGAAGAGAAATATATTCTCCCATAATGTCTTCTAAATGTTTTGTACATGTAGCTTTCACATTCTCCCCCACCCCCGTTTTTTACCCTTACAGACAATAACTAATCGTTCACTATATTATTCTGATATTATATTTTAGCTGAGAAATATGAAATTAAGGATGTAGGACTGAAAGCCAAGAAAATCAACAAAGTTTGCAAACTCAGTCAAAAGTAGTAAGATACACATACATAAGACTTTAAGACATTCTTATTACCTACCCTCAAAATATCTCCTGTAAGGGTGCCGCGACCTGGGCCCAACTCCACCAGCTGGAAAGCTGCACTTTTCCCCGAGGCCATCCATTCGCTAATGAACCATACCCCTAGCAACTGCGACAACGAGAAACTTATATTCAAGTATTATAAAGTATAAAAGTATACCACAGTATAAAACTCCATACTTTATGCCAGGAAGCAAAATGTTTGCAAACAACCATATAATATGTACATATACTTGCACACACACAGGAAACTTCACTAGGACTATGTTACAACACATACCAGTTAGGAAAGCTTTAATAACTGGAGTAGCCCTGGCCAGTTTGGCTCAGCGGTTAGAGCATGACCCTAAGGGTCTCAGGTTTGACACCTGGTCAAGGGCACATGCCTGGGTTGCACATTCAATCCCTGGACCCAGTCAGGGTCATGCAGGAGGCAACCAATAGATGTCTCTCTCTCACACATCAATGTTTCTCTCCCTCCCTCCCTCCCTCCCTTCCACTCTATCTAGAAGGTCAATGGAGGAATATCCTCAGGTGAGAATTAAAAAAATAAAATAACTGGAGTAAAAAGTTAAAAACCACCCTCTGCTATAAAAGGTCCCATGACACAGATAAGAGAATATAACTTACAGAAAGGTACTAGTTAGTATTTGAAAGCAAACAGACATATACATATAATTACATAACTATGCCATTTCCTCAGATTCATATGATTTCAATAATTACATGGCTCTTACACATAAGCAACATATTTTTTTTTTTTTTTATCCTCACCCGAGGATATTTTTCCATTTTTCGTACAGATAGAGTAGGAGGGAGAGAGAGAGAGAAACATCGATGTGAAGGGACACATCGAGTGGCTGCCACCCGCACGACCGACCAGGGCCGGGGACAAACTGCAACCGAAGTACGTGCCCTTAGCAGGAACCGAACCCGGGTCTCTCCAGACCGCAGGCCGACGCTCTAACCGCTGAGCCAAACTGGCCAGGGCATAAGCAACATATTTTTAATACCTGGATTCTACTTCCTCCTATGTACAATTTCATATTTCCAAATTGATCAAAGTTTATTATATGGAAATAAATAAACTAGAATACCTGAAAATAATACAAAGTTTCTTAAAGGGAGACTTCTACTGTAACTATGGCTAAATCATGGTTGGAGGCTTAAGAACTCATTTTGATTCCAGCAATTTATTCTGGGACACACTCTTCCTCTTTCCTCATCTTTACTTGTCTCTCTTCCTTCTCCCATTTCCATATTTCATCTTGGTCACCACTCTTTTCTTTCTCTTTCTTTTTGTCCCTCTTATCTCTACATTCCCTTTTCTACAGTAAAACATAAACTTTCCAATGTCCATTGTGCTATTTTCCTTCCTCTGCTGCCTTTCTATTCCCTCAATATTTACTACAAAATTAAAACTTTTGATGAATCACAAAAACAAAGCTGTAAAATACTATTATAGAGTAAGACAGCTTGATCTGCGTTCAAATGTTTGTGATACTAGTTTCTTTTATAGTTTAGATTGATATTACCTCTCCAAAGATCTGACTTATTTCAGGTGAAGTAATGAAATCTCCTTGTTCCCCTAGCATGTCACGGTACACATAATATCCCTAAGTAAAAAGAGAAAATGGAAAAAATAAATTAATTTTCAAATAAGGCTTTTTAAAACACCCTCCAAAATCTTACATAATGTATACAATGGAATAAACAATTATGTCGCAAGAAAGTTCTCTCTTCTAAATAAGCAAAATTAATGTAGTGTCTTTACCTAAATTTCACAAAGTGACAGAACTGGTAGAAAACCAATTACTCCTTGACTAGAATGGCAGAAGCCATCAACATCCTTCTCTACATTCCACCCTCCTTCCCTCTCCCTACTCCCAAAACCCAACACAAAGACCCTGCCTACCCACCCCCCACACTCTTCCTGCAAATTCTCACACTTTCTACTTCAAATTAACCCTGCCTGTTGGCCATGGTGTTTCTTGACCTGGGTGCTGGTTCCATGGAGTACTCTCTTCGTGAAAATTCATCAAGCTGTATACTTGTGATTTATGCATTTTTCTATATGAATGTTATTTACAGCTCAATAGTGGTTTTTTTTTTAATTGGCTCTGTTTGTCCGCACGTCCATGCCATTGAGATGCCTTCCCTCTCCTTTTCCATTTCTTCCTGGAAATCTTATACTCAATCATCAAATCTGCTGAAATGCCACCTTCTCTGACCTCATCCTCCAGCCTTCCAACCTCAGACTACATCCAGGGCTTCCCTTCCTGAGCTTATTCATTTATATGTCTGTGTTCTTCACCAGAAGGCATAGTTACTTGACGGAGAGGATTAGGTCTTATTTACCTTCATATCCCAAATTTTCTCATTGCCCAACCTTGATGCCCTTCTTCTACCACCTTACTCATGGCAAGTGACTACACAGAAATTAAATCAACTTCCTCAACTTCCTGACCCCTACCCGGCTTCCACTTGCTCCCATTCTTTCCTTGGGACTCATACCATAAAATGCCTACTCCTTCTGTTCTAATCCAAACCTGACCCCTCCTGTGCTCTGATTGATCGCAATTCCTAACCCAGCTCTCATGGGCCAGGACCTTTTTACCATCTATCTCCTTTCTCTCACGGCCTTAAAAATAGTTAAATTTAAAACAATTTTTTTTTCATTCCACACATCTCTTTCCCTTCATAAGTAAGCATTTCAGGGGTGTTTTGGTGTGTATTATGAACCCCTCTGGTAGTACAGTGAAGCCCATGGACCCCTTCAGATAATTTTTAAATTCACAGGACATAAAACACATAAGATTACAAAAGAAAGCAAATAAAAAAATATTTATCAAATATATATATATTTTTTTGGTATGTGCCCTTAGCGGGAACTGAACCTGACTCTCTGGTCTGCAGGCCGACGCTCCAACCACTGAGCCAAACCGGCCAGGGCTCAAATATTTTTTTCTTTTTTTTTTAATCCTCACCCGAGGACATTTTTCCATTTTTTGTTCAGGTAGAGTAGGAGGGAGAGAGAGGAACGGAGAGAGAGAGAGAAACATCGATGTGAAAGGAACACATCGAGTGGCTGCCACCTGCACAACCGACCAGGGCCGGGGACAAACTGCAACCGAGGTACGCGCCCTTAGCGGGAACTGAACCCGGGTCTCTCAGGACCGCAGGCCGACGCTCTAACCGCTGAGCCAAACCAGCCAGGGCTTAAATAAATTTGTGATATAGTAATATATGTGCTTCTTGATAAGTGTGTTAAAAAACAAAATAGAACCTGGGCAGTGTGGCTCAGTGGATTGAGTGTTGTCCCATGGACTGAGAGGTCCCAGTATTGGTCAAGGCACATGCTCTGGTTACACACTGATGTTTCTATCTCTCTCTCCCTTCCTATCTAAAAAAAAAAAGAAAAAGAAAAAATTCAATTAAAAAAAAGATCGAGCCCTGGCTGGTTAAGCTCAGCAGTTAGAGCCTCAGCCCACAGACCAAAGGGTTGTGGATTTGGTTCCAATCAAAGGCACATACCTGGGTTACAGGTTCGAATCCTGCCCTAGTGGTAGTAGTGTAGAAGGCAGCCAACTGATGTGTCTCTCTCACATCTATGTTTCTCTCTCTTTCTCTCCATCTCCCTCTCTCTCCCCCTCTCTCCCTTCCACTCTAAAAATCAATGGGAAAATATCCTTGGGTGAAGATTAACAAAAAACAAATTCGAGTAAAGAGTCTAGTAAGTAACTAAGTTCTGAAGCACAGATGAGCACAATGATGTTTTGAGATACCTGTGACTGATCCCTCTGTCATGATGTGACAATATCAGTGATTTGCACTGATGCTAACTAAAGTCACAGGTATTGCTGATGCTATTGGTAGTTGCCTATGCTCATAGTTAGAGAAATGTTGAATTTTAGTCAGAACTTAATTAAAATAACTGCCTTGCCTAAATCTCTGGACAGTGGGCCACTCCACCACATCCAACAATAAGCCAAACCGATCCCAGAATTCCACAGATCTCATATTTCAGCTCAGCAAAAGGTGAAACACTCTAAAAGGACTACACACAGACTTTCGCTGTATGGAGTAGAAAAGGAAATATAGGACAGAACACTGTGACAATGTTTACTCCTAGAGCAAGTAATGACCCAGACCTTCCATTCTCAAGAAGAAAATCCAGAATATGCTTCCAATGCCTGCTGAAGCTATCCCAACGCAGACAACGTTCCAGGCCTCAGAAACTGCAAATTCATATATCGGACTAAACTCTTTATCCTTCCCCTTCCTCCTAATGAGCTACTTCTCTTCCTCCTCCTCCATTCCCTCCTCCCAGAAAAATCACTCCACCATCTACCATCAGCCCAGGTAGGAAAGTCATCCTTCTCTCATCTCATAAATCCAATTGGTTACAGTCTCCTAAACACCTTTGGAATTTGTCATCTGTATAATGGCACTGCCGCTGACTTATTCCAGCCTTGACCAAGTGACACTAATCTATCCATCCCCAGGTCCTGGGGGTGGCTCCTCCCCTGGAAGGCACCCCGGCTGTCTGGGCTGAAGACGCTCACCCCTCCAGGCTGACACCTCGCACAGCTGCCACAGCGGGCCTGCTCCTCGGGCTCCCCCACCCATACCTTGGCCGGGTTGGTCAAGACCTCCTTCATGTACTCGGCCACAGTGATGGGGCCGGTAGACTTGATTTTGTACAGAAGATGCCGCAGCATAGGAGTCACCGGGTTGTTTTCCACCGGCTCTTTCCCGGAGCAGAAGTATTTCCCTCTCCAAAGGCAAGGAATGACTGCAAAAAACACACATTAAACGGGACCCATTAAAAGCCTTGGTATTAACACGTGCACAGCAGCCTGAGCGCTTTCTAAGTGGCTTTGCAACCTCGCCCGAAGCCGGGAACGCGGACTCTGCCCGCTGCATGCACAGCAGACGCAGGCAGGCCCGCACTCCGCCACAACCCCTCAGCCACCTTCCGTCGGAGTCGGGACCGTCTCTGTCCCGGAGCGCCGCGGGCGCCCCCTACCGAGCAGGGCGCCCCACGCGGGCTCCACGGCGACCGGGGCTCGGCGGGGCGGACACTTACCGGCTCGCGCCGCAGCGCTCCGCCACCGGCCGCCGGCCTGCGCGAGAACACTCATGCCGAACTTCCCCAGCAGCCGCCAGACGCCTGCGGTGGGAATTACGGCCGTTTCCGGGGGAGGACACGCCCCCCCAGGAAGCACGTCACCCGGCCAAGCGGAAGGAACCTGCAGACGAGGGGCGCACGCTTTGCCGAGCATGGCGGCCGCCAAGAAGCCTTTGGAGTTCCATGCCCAGCGGCTCTGGGGTCCTGACGCGAGGGTAGACGACTCGGATGAGGATGACGAGGATGATAACGATGAGGCCGAAAATGGGTTCTCCATGGAGGAAGTGTTACGGCTCGGAGGCACCAAGGTAATGGCCTGGACCTCCCGGAGCAGGGGCTCTGAGGCGCGGGGAGGGGCTCCGCGCGTGGCCGGAGCAGCGGCGCTGGAGGGCGTCGGGGCCCAGTTCCTAGCCGGGAAGTGTGCTCCCGCGCTTCCGGCACCACTTCTTGTCCACTGTTTACAAGATACAAGTCGAAGTGAGCGTTTCTGTGCTGTGGTCTTAGAATGTAGGCGAACCCCTCACTTTATTGACGTGGTCCCACTGGCACTCCATCAGGTCAGACGGGACTGACTTTTCCGGTCCTGGCCTCGTGGCATCAGGGTTTTGAACTCTAGTAGTTTGGGAATTTTAACTTGTGTTCTTACTGAGTAAACGGACGTGCAGTGTACGCTCGAGAAGCCCTCCGCTTTCTTGGGATTCGCATTGTGGTCATGGGAAAGAAACATAACCGGACTTTAGAATACACAGTATGTCAGACGCTGGAAATTGCTACGGAGAAAAATAAGGAAGGAGGTCAAGGAGTGAGAGAGGGCATCACAGTAAATGAGGAGCTCAGGGAACCCATCACTGAGATGTTAGAGCAAAAACCTGAAGGAAAGAGAGGACTGTGCTGTGTTTCCTGAACAAGAAAAGTGTCAGTGTAGCTGAGGCAGAGTGAGGTAAGGGGGAGAGCGGTAAGAAATGAGGTCAGCCCAGCCGGTGTGGCTCAGTGGGTTGAGCATCGTCCCATGGACTGAGAGGTCCTGGTTGGATTCCCTGTCAGGGTACACGCCAGGGTTGTGGGCTCCATCCCCAATGAGGGATGTGCAGGAGGCAGCCCATTGATGTCTCTCTCACATCGATGTTTCTCTCCCTTCCTCTCTCTCTAAAATAGCAATTAAAAAAGAGAGGTAAGAAGGTGGGCCTTTACTCTGAGATTTATGAAACCATAAGAAGGTTTGGCTTATTTTTGATTAAATATTGTTTTGAGACTAGAATTGGGGAGCGGGGATGGAATAGAGGCAGGAACAATGCACTTTACAGGAGTAGATTCACAGTGTGCTCTGCGGTCAGGTTGTATTTGATTTTTAAATATGCAATATATGCACATGCTACAAAAAAGGTTCTATTTTGTTTTGTTTTTTAAGGAAGGGATACATGGTGAAAAGTCTTTTTTCAAGTCTCTTTTGTGTCTTCCAAGGAAATAGACATTGGTGTGTGTGTGTGTGTGTGTGTTATCATTTACACAAAAGGCACCATACTGTGGCTACATATAACATTTTGCATTTGTGTGTTTTTCTTACTATCTTAGAGATCCTTCCATATCAGTGTCAAGTTCTGTGTCATTGATATAATGCCTGCATAAATCACTGTGTCTTAATTTTCCATCAGCCATTTATTGTGGATATTTAAGTTGTCAGTATTTTGCTTTTTTAAATAATATTTCAGTATATAACCGTGAACATCTATTTCCACATTGTAAGTGTACATGTAATCTAAATTTGTAGAAATGGAACTACTGGGTCAAAGGATGTGTGTCTTCTATGTATTTTGATTGAAGGTGGCAAATTGCCCTTCTTAGAGACTGTGCCATTTTATACTCTTATCAGCCATATAGGAAAGTGCCTTTTCCCCCACTCCTTCTTTAACACCACTTGTCATCATTTTTATCTTTGCTCTGATAGATTAAAAAATGGATGCATTATTGTGGTTTTAATATGAATTTCTCTAACTGTCACTGAGGTTGAGCATCTTTTCATATTTTAAAAGAACCACTTTTTCCCCCCTGCTATGAACCATTTGTTTATATTCTTTGTACATATTTCTGTTGGGTAGGAACTTTCATATTAATTATTAAGCCCAAATGCTTTGATATGAGTTGCCAGTATTTTTTCCAGTTTATTGCTTGTCTTTTGATTTGTGTGTATGTTTTGTGTATGAGTGAATGATGAATTTACCCATTCTTTTCTTTGCGGGCCCTAAGTTTTATGTCAAATTTGGAAAGCTTTTCTCTACTCTGAAAAAATGTTTTAATTATGTTGTGCTTTGTTCTATTATTTTATGGTTCTACTTTTTACATTTAAATCTTTGATACGTCAAGTATTTATTTTGGTATAGGTTGGGAGCCCAGGCAATACCATGACACCTTTGATATTATAGATAGTGGTTTCACATTAACTTTTGAAGTTTAAACTAAACTGTTGGATTTGTAATTTATTTTTAACATTATGTTTTTATGCAGCAAGATTACCTTATGCTGGCTGCTTTGGATGAGAATGAGGAAATCGTGGATGGAGGCAAAAAAGGAGCAATTGATGACCTTCAACAAGGTGAATTGGAAGCATTTATTCAAAATCTGAATTTGGCCAAATATCCAAAAGCTTTCATAATTGAAGAAGATGAACCACCCAGCAAAGAAGATGTCAGCAAAAAAGCAAGCATGTCTAAATTTGATAATAAAAAGCAAAATGCAGTGGAAAGTGAAAGGACATCAGTTAGTAAAGTGAAAAATAAGAAGAGACCAGAACAACATTCTGATGAGAACAGCAGTGCTATACCGAAAGTAAAGAAAGATAAACAACAGGACATCTTTGAATTTGTTGAGAGACAGACACTGTTACTGAAGCATGGAGGCAAATGGTATGATCTGGAGTATAGCAATGAATATTCTGTGGAACCCCAGCCTCGGGATGTTGTGTCTAAATACAAAATTTTGGCTCAGAAGTTGTATGAGCATGAAATCAACTTATTCAAAAATAAGACAAATAATCAAAAGGGAGCCTCTTCTACATGGATGAAAGCAATTGTGTCATCGGGGACTCTAGGAGACAGGATGGCAGCCATGATTCTTCTTATTCAGGATGATGCTGTTCACACACTCCAGTTTGTAGAAACTCTCATAAACCTTGTGAAAAAGAAGGGCAGCAAACAGCAGTGCCTCATGGCTTTGGATACTTTCAAAGAGTTACTAATTACAGACCTTTTGCCAGATAGTCGGAAACTGCGGATTTTCAGCCAGCGTCCTTTCAACAAACTAGAACAGTTGTCCAGTGGCAACAGAGACTCAAGAGACAGGAGGCTGATCTTATGGTATTTTGAACACCAGCTGAAACATTTAGTGGCTGAATTTGTGCAGGTCTTAGAAACTTTAAGTCATGATTCATTAGTAGCCACCAAAACTCGAGCCCTTTCAGTGGCTCATGAGCTTCTTTGTAACAAACCTGAGGAAGAGAAAGCTCTTCTTGTGCAAGTGGTAAACAAACTAGGAGATCCTCAGAACAGAATAGCAACAAAAGCCTCCCATCTGTTAGAGATACTGCTTTGTAAACATCCCAATATGAAAAGCGTTGTGTGTGGTGAAGTAGAAAGGCTGCTTTTTCGCTCAAATGTCAGCTCCAAAGCGCAATATTATGCAGTTTGCTTTTTAAATCAAATGGTCCTCTCCCATGAAGAAAGTGAATTGGCTAATAAATTAATAACTCTTTATTTTTGTTTTTTTCGGACTTGTATCAAGAAAAAAGATATTGAATCAAAAATGCTTAGTGCCCTTTTAACAGGATTGAACAGGGCCTACCCTTATGCCGAGACTGGTGATGACAAAGTGAGGGAACAGATTGATACACTCTTTAAAGTGTTACATATTGTGAATTTTAATACCAGTGTGCAGGCTTTAATGTTGCTTTTCCAAGTAATGAATTCTCAGCAGACAATATCGAATCGATATTATGCAGCATTGTACAGGTAAGTACATGCCTCCCGATATGTGAATTTGAGGAATAATGTACTCTATAGCACACGCAGTTGCCCCTCTGTGGGGGCAAGAGAAAGACTTATAGAAGTGGATTTTAGGCTCCCCCACAGAAACTTGTTACTCACTAAGTAAGTTGCTTAGTATTTGTTTTCCTGTTGGATAATTATGTTAAACATGCTTTGAAAATATTGTTTATCATATTTTATTTTGAGAAGTTGTTGGAATACGGAAAAAACACGCATACCCCCAAAGCATCCATATCCTACCACCTAATATTTAAAATTTAATATTTTGCTGTATTTGTTTTAAATCTTTTGGGCTATTAAATAGATAGAGCTACAGATGGAAGTTTCCTTCTCCCCCCACTCTCCACCCCATCCTCAGTCCTGTATTTCTTTATCCTGTCCTTCACACAGCCATTTAGTAATTCAACAAGAATTGAAGTGCCAACTATTTACTGGATACTGTTTCAGGTGCTTAGGATATAGTACAGTGAACAAAATTCCCATGACTAGAGGGGCTTACATTTATACTGGGAAAGTCAGATGGTAAACAAAGTTTGGTAGGGAGGGTTGGTGGTTGCAGTTTGGGAATTTTTTTTAAATATTGGGATTAATTTGTTTATTGAACTTTGCAATTTTCCTGCAGTGCACCCTTTGAGGGATGAACTTTTGAACAGTGTGGAAACACTTTGCAGTTGTTCAGGTTGACCAGCAAGCTTTGCATTTCCTTCTAATTCATTTTTATAATTTCGCAATCATGTGTCATGTGAGAAATGTAATGTAGTGGTTAACACTTAGACTTGAGCCACACTGTCTGGATTTGAGTACCAGCTATTAGTTTGCTGTATAATTTTGGACAAATTACTTAATCTTTATTATAATTCTGTTGGTAAACATGATTGATTACATTTTACTGTGCCACGGTTCAGTTGTCTATAAAATGGAGAGAGAAACCTATTTCATAGGGCTATTATGGAGATTATGAAACTTTCCCAAGATTACACAGCTAGA